GCTGTAGACACAGGTCATGTGATGATAACAGACACTTTTAAAACCTGAATCTCCGTGAGATTTAGTTTGAGAGGTTTGTTGTTTTGTTTGTGACATTTTGCAGAGAATCACAGAAGCTTCAGCAGAGATTAAAAATTACAGATTCACAAAAACATCAAAACAAAAAATCTGTGGGTGAAAACTGAAAAAATAAAGTGTCTGCATGAAGTAATCAACTTTGTCCTCTATTTAAACATGCTTCACAGTTGTTATAAAGCCGCCTTTTCACAGTGAGGTGAGGAAGTGAAAGTTCTGCAGAACCCTGACTGTATGTCGGAGAGAAATCGGAGAACACTCAGACTGAATTTACTCGCATTAAGAAGTTAAATTATAGATTACACGAGATACGAGGTAGATGGAGTCCTGTATAATGAGGTTTGTAGAAGTGAAGCACACATAAACATAAAGTTTTCACGACACCAGAACTTTAAACTTTGATATGATTCTAGTAAAACAGTTTGATACCACTGCAACAAAAATAGAAGTCCTCGACACCCAATATTGGATAATTTCTTGTTTGTAACGATCAAAAATTGCAGACAAACCGCTGCACAATGTTGTGCACAAAACATTGACATTGTTAGCATTTGCAAAACTTAGACATTGCTTTCTCTCTTTTGGTTAGAATCTGACGAGAGTTTTCTTTTTAAGTTTTGGTACTTTTTGATTCTAGTGATAATTAAAATAACAGATTGTAATGTTTTGAAATATGTGGTATGAAAAGGCCCTCTTTTCACGCCGACTTCAGAAGTAAAACAATAAGCTGTTTTTGTGTTTGGGCGGTTCGTTTACACAAAAAAAGTATTTGCCTGAAAACGGAAAGTTTTGAAAACGGGTTACTGAGTGCAAACTCTTGAAAATGGCACCGTCTTGTAAACTGTCAATACGCTGTTCCTCTGAAGACTAAGACCTTGTGCAAAGGCCCATAAGGGTTCCATTCAATAGCATCGAGGATGTTTGTGGACTACAACAATAATGGCGGATGTCTGACTATTTCCGACGGGCATGACTCCCAGTCGACATTTTCTTGAAATGTACTCGCTTTGTGGTTTAGGGTCGCCTCGTCATCCGTTCACAGGAATGTTTATGCATTAGCCTTTTCTGCATGTTTACACCTCACTGCTCTGCAGAAGGAAGGCATGTTCACTTTGTTTCATTAGAAAGTCACACCACCAACAACTAGCCTGGCATATACAGTAAACTACAGCGTTTATAGGGTTTTTTGCGACTCAGTGTGCATAGCAGCTGTTATCAAAACATTTTTGTAAATAAAAACTACAAACTAGGATTCTTCCTGCAACCTTACTGCATATTGTAGTTGCTATAACACACAACATAAATACTTCAGCTTTATTAAAGTGTTGCTAAATCAGCTTTATTTCCAGACTGTGATCTTTGTGCACTAAACCCAAAAAAGTAATTCAAGTAAATGTTTGGTTATTTAACAACCAATCAGTACGTCAAAGTACATTAAAGTTAAAGTTGTATTGTTATGTGAACCTTCAGTCTTACTGTAAAACTGCACATTACACGTTACAAGCATGATTTTAGCCCGATCTGGCAGACGTACTGCAGGGTTTCGGGACCTTTTGACCCCGGAAATCGATCATTTTATCTCATGAATTGTTCCATAGTGAACGATAATCAAGGCCACATCTGGGTCCCATCACAACGTCCCTGTGCAAAGTCTAGCATGTTTTGAATGAGAGTCAGCATTATTACAGTAGATATGAGCGGAGACAAAGAAAATGGAAGAGCGGAAGAAGAATGATGACGATGCTACTAAATGGAACTACGAGACCGAGGAATATTTTTAATTTAATTTAATTTTTTGTTGATTACAGTCATTTTTCCAGGTTTCGTCTAGCCTAGCCCCTCATGCTTCCAATGTCATAACATCGGTCGTGATGATTAGTCAAGTCTCATTGTGTAGTCTGTCATGTCTGTCGGTCAAGTCACGGCACCAATTAGTGGCTCTGTGATTGCCTAATCTGAAACGTTAACCGTCCGAACTGACAGAACGATTGAGTGATCTGACCTTCTTTAAGAGTCCTGATATTTATGTTGACGGGATTCAAAAGGTTAATTATTCATGTATCTGCAGTGTTTGGAGCAACACGTTACTCTAACTTCACTATTTTGTGGTAACTAGTAATGCATCTTGTTCCTTTTCCGATTTAATACAGCCATTTCAATTAGATAAATTTAAAAGGCACTTGTTACTTTAATTGAACTAACACACGACTACATGAGATTAACGTTTATCGACAGCGATTCAGTGGGGGAGGTCACGCTAACGTCAGTACAGTAGCATCCTGCGTCAAACAACAAGAATAAAGCGGTGCACTGTAGTCTGTGTGCGGGAAGGAAAACTTTATCCACTGCCAAGAATAGTTAATCTAATCTCACCGAGCTAAACAACACGCTTTACTTAACTAGCCGTCAGAGAGCCCGGCGCTGCGAACACCAGACAAGACGAGGCTTGAGTTTAACTCGCCGCCAGCTAAACAAACTGCGAGCGTTGGATATCGTGTGGCATTGCACATTCTGCTCGCTGTCCACAGTGCATCCATTAAATATTTACTTCTTTTCTCTGTAAATTTTAATTTCCCTTGCAAACTGTTTGACATGTGGTGCTCTTGTATCGACGAGCTACAACTGTCAATGCGAGCGACAGGAATGCAAATAGTGGTACATTTTTTCTTTCCACTGTAACTTTTGCTAAATGTTGCTAAAGTGCTACGCTCATGATGGATTAACGCTGGGTCTTTGTTATATGGCAATGAGTAAGGTCTTTTTACCTGCTCTTTTGTAAAATGTCTGGAGACAACACTTGTTGTGAATTGGCGCAATACAAATAATGACTGACTCATGGAAAATGGTTTGTCTGGCTATTTTGCGTTGAATCACTTACAACCTGTTAGGACAGTCAAATAGGAAACAAACGGAATCAAGCTGATTTGGTCGCTGAAGCTTGCTGATGTCGCATGCTGTTTGGACACACTGTAGGCCAGGACTAAACAGACCGATTGTAAGGTATGTTGTTTATGACACATGCTTTATATCAACTGCTGAGTCTGTTGTCTTCAGAGAACTAATTAGCAAAATACCTAAATATTAAAAATGGCTACGATGTTATAGGAACGAAAGAGTTATTTCCTCTCACACTGCGACAGCAATGTGTAATAATGTGAACATTAATGTGAGAGTATCAATGAAAAAGAAGGTGCTCCATGTTCCTCTTTTTGACTGGCTGCTCATCTGTAGTCCCTTCATTTTAAACTACAGGCTAAACATACACTTCAATAACCACTTTGTTTCCGTTGTCTTTTTTTTTCTCATAATTCTTTGACTGTATTTTGGTAATATCATCACTTCATTCTCCTAATCTCAGATATTTCACGTCTCGTGGCGCTCACTTCGTGATACATAAGGACTCAGAAACACAAACAAACTATTTTTAGCAGAATCAATGTCCTCTCTGGTTAGCTTTAGCACTCAGAGCTAACACCAGTCGGCGGTTTGAACAAAAATAAAAGTCCTGAGAATTGTGGTGCCTATAGAAGAAGAGGGCGAAGCTAAGAGCGAAACCCTCACTTTGCCCTCTCCTCCACACAATGCCAACATACTTTTGCAATTGAGACAGTTTTCAAGAGTTTGCTGTGGATTCATTCCTCTCTTGCACACCTGTCTCATGAAACAGATTAGTTTAGTACTTTTTGATACTGTCGATTTTAAATATCAGAGATTGCATCGTTTTAAACACCTGGTATTGAAAAGTATTGAAAGTAAGTGTTAAACATTTCGACAACCTTTAAATTAAAACTCCTCATGTTGGACTAGTTTTTAGCTTTCAGTATAAAATAAAGTAATGTTTACCTACCAGTAGACATGAGGAAAAGAGAGATGGTCAGAACGGTCCTGAGATCCATCATCACAGTAAATGACAGGTGGAAAAAGACAGAGAGAGAGAGAGGAAGGAGAGAGACGAGAGGAAGACTCCTCCTGCACAAACTGTGCAGACAGAGGAAACTTTGCAGAGGAGTTATACTGTGAATCAGTTCATCCTGCTGCACGCTGCACACCTCTCTGCACATTTCCTCCCTTCAAAGAGCTGCTGCACCGGGCGAGCAAGAGAGAGAGAGAGCGGGGAAAAAAAGCTGATGATAAGAAAGGAGGAAGAGGTGGGAGGAAGAGGTGAAGGAAGAGTTACTTAATTCATCTTTTCTGAAATCATGTTTGTGAGTCAGAACTTCAAAACAAATCTCTGAGACGTCAGTGTTTTAATGCAGGAGGAAACAAAATACTGTAAATACTAAATACTGTTAATCTAAACAAAAAAAAACACATAACTGCAAATTTTATTACACAACAATTCTTGTTACCAAAGTGTATGTGTACTCCCTTTTAGCATGTTAGTTTAAGCTAAAGTTTAAAATGTTTAAAGCAATGATCTGCAAGTTTTTCCGTCATACAATTCTTGTTTGAAAGTGGATCTAATAGAAATATCACTTTCAACACGGAAGTTTGTAAGTTTGGCAGCGGGCGGAGGTCATCGAGACAAGCACACTTAGCCCTCTACTTTACGGCACTAGATGACACAGCATCCTTCAGTTACTAAGCAGGCAAATGACAAGGAAGAGGACGGTGACAGACGAAGTTAAAAGAGAAAGGGGAGAGTGATGTGTCAAGAAGCAGAGTGTACATCCCTGCAGATTTTATTTACAACAGATTGTGACCTAACATTAGGCTGTATCGTTTTCAGTGTCTTCGTTGTCTCATGTTTAGCAGCTTTACCGGGTGCAGAAAGTTATCTAACCCAAGTGGTCTCTCATGTTTGCATTCAGATAAATAAATAAATCCATCTTATTTCAGTTTGTCTCTTTCCTCGTCGATCTTCAAGTCAGCTTGATATGTTTGAAAACTTACAAATCTATCTCAACTAGCATGTTATAAATTACCTTCTCCAGTGTAGCCATTTAGCCACGGCCTGTAGACGTCATGGTAACCAGAGGCGCTGCTTGTCAACAGGCAAGGCAGGCAACTGCTTGGAGCCCCAGGCCAGTTGATGAACATCAACCACAGCAGTGGCTTTAAGTTGCAATGACAATAGGAAACCTCCCTAAAGGGCCCACATCTGACAACACTCACTCATATAATAATAAATGACTGAATGACGCTCATCTAGTCCTAAATATGGGGGAGAGAAACTTTAACGAAATAACTTCCGCTAAATGTTTTTGTCAGTGTCAGATTATTTATAACATACTGAGGATGAACGCTGTTTGGAGGGGCCCCTGTGAATTTATGCCTTGGGCCCTAAAGGTCTCCAGAATCGCCACTGATGGTAACAGTTGAATACACATCAAATACTCCACATGCAAACAGGTTGTAAAAAACGAGCTGCAGCAGGGTCATGTTTTCTCAAAATCCAGCAATATTTGATTTATCGGCCAATATCTTTCGTAGATCTGTGAAATCTGTAGAGAAAGATATATCAAATTTAATGCGTGGTTGATCCCTAAAATGCCGTTATCAAAAACTTGCGGAAAAGATTTACAACGAAGACAAGATGGTCACTCAACTGGAAAGTAAAAAAGAAACAGATTTTCTTGTGACCTAATCGCATTAAAGGCTCCCTCTTAATGAGTTACTTTGTATGTTGAGAGAGTAGGAGATCAGGTTGATTGTTGTCTAATATTATAGATACAAAACAAAGTAACAGCGGACACTGCTGCTACATTGATAGACAAATTATTCACCCATTAATTTGACTGTAAAATAGAAGGAGGACTTCTCATAAAAGACCTAAGTGAACACCTTCAGGTCTTTGCAATCGTTTTAGGCCAACAACACACAAAGCTGGACTGATGTTTATCTGAACGAGGATCTGAACGATGCCTATGAAGGCCTTTGTGCATTACTGTTTATTATTTTGCTCTGTGACAAAAATGGCTCTTTAAAAAAAAAAAAAAAGGTAAGCATTCGGCAAGACATGGATCACAAAAAGGAGAAGCACTTCTTAAAATGATCTGCATCTAAAGAAACGCCAATAAAAGCTTCATTTCTATTCAAATAAAGCAGAATTTTTTAAAAAGACGACTCAGAATGTTTAAGTTTAGATCAACTTCAGTTTAATTATTCACAACCCCGGAAAAGAGAAAGAAAAGAAAAATCTCTTTAACACCCACAGTCATCTTTACCATCATCATCATTATTATTATTATTAATATTTATTATAATTCACCCTCTGAATGTTTTAATGCTAAACTCTATTAGAATTCTCTTTGTGCTTCTTCTAAAACACCTCCATCACTACTTCTCCTCCTCCTCAGGTCAGAGCAGCACTCCACACACACACATACGATCACCATGCAGGAGTGTGTCACTGTCTTAAACACACACACACACCTGTCTGCCTGTGTGTGTGTGTGTGTTACAGGTATAGCAGGTGATACAGATGTAAAGATGTCAGCAGCAGGAACAGGTCATCTTTAACTCTTCATGCTCTCCCACAGTGTCCGCACCTCTGCTAGCTATGCTAGCTCTGTTAGCTTCTTTTCAACGAGTCTGACAATCAGGTGAGCTGAAAGAGATCAACTTTAATCCAGGTAACAAATAAAAGAAAGATAGAGCTTTTATTCTATTACCGAAGCAGAGCAGAGAGGTGTGCTGGGATTTGTAGTTCTGACAGAGACTCCTGAACAGACCGTTAAAGAAGGTTATGTTTCCTCTTTATGATTCTGACATGCAGTGTGATGAGTTACAGAGAGTAAGTCTTTGCTCCTGTTTGCTGTTGGGCGCGTTAAGGCGGTCAAAATGTTCGATACTTTGATTGTTTTTGACACCACGTGTTTCAAAACGACAAATTCTTGTTTAATGATCGATAGTATCAAAAAGCTTTAAAAAAAAAAAAAACTAGATCTATTCCATAAGACAGGTGCGCAGGAGACAAATGAGTCCATCCAAAAACTTGCTTTCTTAATGCTGGCAACATTTTAGTAAGGAAAATGTTGCCAGCATTTTTGTGCAATTTAGACACTTTGCACAAGTTTATCTGTAATTTAAAATAATACATTTCTCAATATTCGTTGCCTAGGACTTCTAACTTTGTTGCCGTGGCATCAAACAGGTATCGATATCGTTTGATTTCATCGTAAAGTCTGGATTTAAGTTTTTTGTTTGTTTGTTTTTTTTAAGAGAACATTTTAAACATCCTGCTGATGTTTGGAGCTGATCAAACTAAAGTTTCTGACAAAGCTCAGAGACAATGTTTATATAAAACATGATGAGCATGACGAGATGGTTTAACTTTGTGATATTTAAAGTAAGGGAGGAGGATCTATTTTCTCATCAATAAACAGTCTTCATGATTGACTCAGAGCTGATCACCTTCATGTTAACGACACGTCAGACGACTCGTCCTCGCACGCACAGAAAGCTAAGAGTTCAGGTGATCTGTGTCCAGCATCAGTTCATGTTCAGAGAGCGGGGGAGGAGGAGAGGGAGGAAGGGGGTGGATAAGGTGGGACAGGAAGAGGGGCCATTCAGGGTTTCATTCAGACAGACACGCACTAAAAACAGAAACTCGCTCTGATTATGTATCTGACCGTCTAATCCATAGATATAAATACGTACTGTATGTGCCACCTGGGCGGGAGCTGTTCACAGGGTGGCCATCATGGAGAGGGGTAGCCGTGGCTCCTAATGAATGAAATCTAAGACGGCAGGAGGTCTATACACGATTCAAATACTAGCTGAAATGTGAATTATTTTTCTTATGCAGATTGTTTTGTTACAAACATCAGACATTTATTTATGGATATTTGATTGAATAAAAAAAAATGCAGGTTTTCAAATGCTCTATCTTATCTAAGATTATTGTGATTTCCTTTGTAGAGAATTACTGTACGCCTCGTAAGATTACTGAAGTCTCATATAGAGGCAGATATATTAGGCTATTGTAAAAGTTTAAAATGATTAAATATAGTTCAGATAATTGAAGTAATACATCTGAGGTGTGATAAGCTACCGCTGTATGGTATTAGACCAAGGCCAAAACGTTGGAAGTTCAATTTTAACGCTAACTTTAAAAGAAACAACAATTTAATGAAAGCAAACCAAAAATAAATCGAGAATATGTCTGATATTTTATACTTCTGGAAGTCTTTTGGAAATGTTTTCTTATTTTTCCCTTAGTAAAAACTTTGATATTTGACTCTGTTACTGGTAACTTTCGGTTTTAAACACCCAGACTTGTTTCACAGACAGATCTACGTTTTCTATTCATTTTATTTTTCTACAATAAAATGTATTTGAAAAATGACAAATCTGCTCGTTTTTTTCTGAATTTAAGAGATAATTATCTTGGAATTAGGCAACAAGCAAAGTTTGATTGAAAAACATTCAAACCTGTGTTCTCTCAGCCGGGCGGATGCAGCTCAGCTTGCTGCACAGATATTAGATGTATCCTTAATGACTTAATCCAAGTCTGAAACGTCTTCAGGCTGACTACAGCGGACTCAAGTTACAATCCACTTTCTGCTGATTCTATATATAGACCTCGTGATGTATTTGACTTACAGTATATTTATTAAGAACCTCATCTACCCCTCTACATGATGGCGGCCGCATGAACACATCTCACAAGCGGTCTCTATCTCCCAATGCAGAAACCACAAACTCTGTCAACTATCTGCTCACTGCAGAAAATGAGGCTCCTATGTGGTCACCTGACGTCTTTCCCTAGAGCGAGGAATTTATACTCACTTAAAAGAATAACAACATAATACAAGACTATAATGATTAAAGACAGCATTCAGGTGTGTTAAACCAAAAGGGGAGTAAATATCACCTCAAAGTTTATGTAGGATAAAGTGTTTATATCATCCCCTGTTCTCCCTCTCTCAGCTGGGTTAATCTCCCTCCTCTATGAACTGTGTCTGGATAAACTTCTCTGCTGCCTCAGCTCCTTGAGGTGGACCAGGTCCCAGTCTGATGACCTGTTTGCATGGATCAGTACCAGGATTTCTCTGATGGACACTGACTACCGATGATTTGTTTCAGCTGTGGAGATCCTGTCCTTCTGTCTCCACTGAGTGACAGCTTCATTGTATCTAACAAGTCAGATTTGACTGAGATTGACAATCAACAGGCTGAAAAGATGCTGAAATATCTACATCATGATGGGGATTTGTTAGTTCTGTCTTCAACTGGACCTGCAAATAACTATTAAAATGCTTGTTTGTGTGTGTTTGGTATGACCATTTGTGATGCAACCCAGGATGTCACGTACATTTAAAAATGAATGATTCCTGCACACAGCATCATGATGAATCTGACAACAATTTAGAATTTTTTTTCAGAGTTTGTGTTGTGTCATTGCGTGTCACCTGCGAATCTTATTGACATTTTATAATCTGCCAAATCCTTGAATCTTTCTATGAAATTTAAATGCTATTTTGTTCTGAACACCATTCATACAATATGAGAGGATCAGTCTTTTTAAAAACATATTTAAGCCACCAAACCAGACTCCACTCATTTCAGCCTGGTTTTAAGATCAGGAGGCTGCTCACTCACAGAATCGCTGTTCACACCTGCAAACAGCTGATCTGAAACCAGCTGATCTGACCGAGAGCTTGTTAAGCTTCAGTTCGATCCTGAGAGAAACCAGCTGGGGGCGCTAATGAGCCAGAAAACAGCAATCAACCAATCAGTGCTAGATTAAATTAAATCAAATCAAAGGCTCTTTGGTTGGAACAAACCGAGGGGGGCGGAGGAAGGTGTGTGTGGAGCTGTGCTGCTTCTCTGGCCGTCTGCAGGAGAGAACACCATGACATCACCTGACACCTGAGGGAGTCTGAGTGTGTGTGTGTGTGTGTGTGTGTGTGTGGAAGAGCTGAACTCGACAAAACTCGACATCCAGATTACACTTCATTGATCATCTGAAACAGGACACACAAACATGCACACACACACACAGATGACAGGGGGAGTGTATGAAGAGCCAGATACGAGTGTAACGCAACAACCTGAGACTATTGTGTGTGTGTGTGTGTGTGTGTGTGTGTGTGTGTGTGTGTGTGTGTGTGTGTGCATATGTAAGTTGGAGGGGGGGATAGTGCAACAAAGAGAAGTAAAGCGAGAGACCTCTGACTCTGGGGGAGGGGTTAGAAAAGGTAAAAAGACGAGAGGATGGGGAAATTGGGGGGGGGGGGGGGGGGTAGAGATGAGGTGGAGGGGGCGGGGCTCTCAGGAGTACGGCTGGGGGACCCCATGCCCCGGTCTGTACAGGGGCCTCCCTGTGGGGGACTGAGAGCTGGAGTAGGCGGGGCCAGTGGGGTAGCTGTAGCCCCCATAGCTGTAGGAGGCGGGGTACGGGGCAGGGCCGCTCTGGTTGGGAGTGTACTGGCCAAACGCCGAGCCAGGGTGGGGAGCGGGGAAGGAGGGCTGGCTGGGGTAGGGACAGGCGGCTGACGCGGGGGGACCGAAGGCTGGCCGGGGGCCAGAGAAGCCCCCTGCGGGGGTAAAAGGTGAACCGGAACTAGGGTACGGAGGAAACTGTGATGGAGGGTTGGCTGGGCCGGAGCTCGCAGCTGCTGCTGTGGGGTGGTTGGGGGGGGAGATGGGGTAGGGGCTGTAGGGGAGGCCGGCAGTGCCCCCTACAGATGACGAGGCGGTCTGCTGCGAGGGGTTCTGGGGGGCAGAGCTTGGCTGCTGCTGATGTGTGGTCGTCGATGTTGACGTTGGTTGATTCCAGGCTGAGGGGGCGGGGTCCTGGCTGCCCTTTGATGATGTCATGGCGGTTGGAATTCCCTCGCTCCTCTGTCGCAGGATCTCCTGAAGCTTCTCGATCTGAACCCGCCTCCTGTGAGCGAGTGAGCGCAGAGACAGGAAACGCTCCAGGAAGGAGTCCAATGGCAGAGAACCTTCCAGAAACTCATCTGCTAGAGCCTGCACACACACACACAGTGAGCACATCACATCACTGATACAGAGAGAACATTAGTGTGAGTGAGGGAGTGTGAGTGTGTGTGTTTTACAGTTCTGACCTCTGACTCCTCCTCTGTTTTGCCGCCCTCTGTCTGTAGTCTGGAGAAAAACGCTTCAGGAGACACCTGACCGACCATCCCATCTGAGAGAGAGAGAGAGAGAGAGAGAGAGAGAGAGAGAGAGAGAGAGAGAGAGAGAGAGAGAGAGAGAGAGCGAGACAGAGAGAGCATAATAGAAACTTGTTTTAGTGCAGCACATGACAAACCGGTTGTCACCAGGCTGATGTGTTCACAGACACAGAACATCTATGTGCAGTGACAACATCACAAGGAAGAGTAAATCTTTAACAGTCAAATTCCAAAACAGCGTCTAGCAGCTTCTGTGTGTTTTTTTTTTTTCTTTTGAAAGTATCATGTTGCTTCCAGCCACTATAAAGAAAGAAGGGTTGAGGTTTTACTGTGAACGCAGCTCGATGTCTCCCTCAGGTGGTGATCTGCTCTCTGTTGCTTTGTTTTTTTATAAATGTATATTTGTTTTTGGCTCATGCCGTCTATAGAAAACACTCTGTGCCTCTAGGTTTAAAGTGTGGTACAAAGACATGATAACCCCTGACCTTCCTTTAGTAAACATTGAGTCTATTTCTGAGGCCACAAGCTCTTCACTTCACTCAGTATGAGTTTATAACGTGCCGGTCAGAGCTGAATGTTCCTGACTCTGATCAATCAGCTTGAAGACCACTCACTTTTCTTTCTTCGAGTCAGACTGCAGGATTAACTTATTTGATGTGACATTTTGAAAGACACACAGACAGCTCAGAGGTCACCTGACACCCCCCCCCCCGTACCTCTGAGTGAGCAGTTTTGTCTGTAGTTTTCTCTGATGACCTCCAACTGTGAGTATCTCTCCACTAGCAGCTCCTTCTGAGTCTCCAGACGAGGCCTCATGTCAAGGTTCTGTTCAGCCAGGCTGCGGTTTGACGCCAGGGCCATCTCTCTCTCCAGCTGGATGTTCTGGATCTGAAACGCACACAAATAAAATATAATTTAGTGTTCACACTAGGCCCGTACCAGTTTACCTTGTCCCCAGTCCAGTGTTTCCCCTACCATTATATTAGGGGGGCGGCCCTTTTTTGTAGCTATATTGTTTGACTAATAACAGAATAATAAAAGGTCTGATATTGTGACAATACTCTATGTTCTACTCTAAATTCCCCACACTTGTTATTGTCACATGATCATTTATCTTCTTTTATGCGCTAAGTGATATTAACCAGTGAAACCAAAATGTTCTATTTTTGTGATACTGTAAAACCTGTGATATAAGTCTCACCTGTATATAAGTCAGTCTGTTTGAGGGTCTCACAGAGTGAAAAAAGGTTTCAACTGTCTTCCTGTGTGATGATTTTAATTGAGTTCATCAAAGTTTGTGTGCAGCTGTGTACAGTAGCTCTTTCAGTACCATCTGTTTTCACCATATTGAGTTTGTAATCCTGCCAGCTACCTGTAATCTAGTTGAGCTCTCAGCCTAAATAACATTAGTAGTAGTGAAGTACAGACCCACATCCTGTGAGTCTCTCTGCCCACCTCCTCTGGTCACTTACTGTCTTTAATTGAGGAGTCTTTTCAAACCATCAATCCAAAAAGCTTTACTTACTGAACAGCATAACACCATTTTCTTTATATGTTTATATGCAGGATTTTAATCTCTCTCAAAGATGGTAAAAAAAAGACACCACCCTGGTCTGCATCGAATAGGCCAGTTGGCGTGCAGTGGGTGATGGAGGCGGTTGCACATGCGGTCATAATGGTGCATTTCTCAGTCTTTTATACGGGTATGTTTGTCTCACCGAGATAAAGGCCACAACCCACTTTTGACAATAAAAGGTTATTAAAAGTGTGCCTTATACACTGAGTCTTGTATTGTTGTGCCCTTCTCTTGTTGTCTAGTTGTTTTCCTGTTTGACTTTAATGTCCGACCAGAACGTTATCCGCTCTGACACCATGTTTCTAGTCAACACCGTCCTGTGATCTTTGTCCTGTTTTACCTACTTCTTTCTCCTTCTCTCTCAATAATCAAAGCCCAAGAAGACCAGTGTTCTGTGGGATATTTGATTGTTTTTTTGTTGTTCAATACGATTTAAGGATGGCTGCTTGAGTTGATCTTATTTCACAGATAAGTGAGAGAAGCCAGATCCTTTGTATTTTCTTTAATAAGATAAATGTTTTATTGCAGCTATAATACAGTTTATTTATGATTTAATGTCGTCCTCAGGCCTCCCTTTTATGTCCACCCCACCTGACTGCTCCTCTGTTGTATTTGAACAGCTAGAAGATTTTTAAAGATCATATTTAAAGAGTTTGCCCAGTCTATGTTGGTTTTATGCAGTGGTGCCTGAAGAAGTGGGTAAACTCTTAATTTTTCCCTGAATGATTTTTTTCAGTGTCCCGTCCACTGGAGGATAAACGGCCTCTGTTACTAAATATGCAAGAGGAGTCTTATGTCACTGTTTGTAAGTGTGTGCTAGGCAATTAGAGACAGAGTGGAGAGTGTCATCACTTCACCATCCTAGGAATTGCAGCATCCTACTGACTATGGTCAATCAATTATTGGTGTGAATCAGAGGAGATACAGAAGTGGCTATACCCTATGGAGGCTGCAAAATAAGTGGGCATACCCCGCATACCTGCGTATACCCTGCACAACACCAGTGGCTGTAAGTTAGTGCCCTTGTCCTCAGACACTTACCTGGCAGTGACAGTGCCAGAGATAGATTAACTAGCCGGAGTTAGTGTAATCACTCGAGCCCTCACCGCCTCTCAGACAGCCAAACAGAAAGCAAGCCTTGTTTTTTACCTCGTCAGACTCCAGAGCCATAGACTCCACCCTCTCTGGCGTGTCCAGGAGCTCCTGCAGCTCTGATTGGCTCAGGTCCTGGAGCTTCTCCATTTGATTTGCCAGGATGGCTGTGCGTCATGAAAAACACAGGAAACAAGAGTAAAAAAAACACAGAAACAGAAAGTGGACAGTATAAGGCCTGACTTCTGTTTTTAAATGTTAAAAAAACAACAACAACATATAAAATAGTCACTATCGTTGTCAAAATTGACAAAACCTTTATACTATGAAATGATACAAAGGGTTTAAAATGATATGTCTCTGTTATTTTAATGATGGATAGTAGTCGAAAAAATGTTTGAAGCTTAAAAAAAAACCTCACATTGGCCATATTTTTAACCAAAATCTGTTGTGAACAAGACAGCACTATCTAAATTGCACAAAATCATTGGCAAGGTTTTGAGGAGGGAGGAGCTGGATACGAGCTCTTCTCCAGCGACTGCCTCTTTTCCAAAAATTGCCCCTTTTTTTTGCAACTTAGAGAGCGTGCAGGAGTTTTTGGTAATTACATTTTTTGGTAATTTAAAACAAGAAATTACCTAATGTTGGACGTCTTTGACTTCTGTTTTTGTGCCGTGGTATTAAAGAGCTATCAATACAATTTGATATTAACTACTACCAAGAAGTTTCTGTTATCACGTCAACCCGATAAGGTACTAAGAACTCAGGAGACACATCTAGGCTAAACAAACCGAGTCCCCACCCAGTATTTAATCTTTTAACTGAGCTGTATCAATACCTCACAACAACAACAACAAAAAGTGCTTACAAATAAGGACAATTTAAATCGATTTGACAAAAATATATATTGAAATACTCTTTTTGACCAGCTGAGGGAGCTACATATATCTAATTGATTTAGGATTTGTAAAGAAAATGTTTTACTTTCAGCAAGTTTAAGACATCATGATTAAAAAGTTTTACTTTTCTAAAGACACATAAAATGATAATTTGCATTTTTATTGTGGGAGTTCAAACCAAAGAATTGTATTTGTTCAAACTAAAAGTTGAAGTTGAGCGGAGTTCATAAAGTGACTTCAATCTCAAAAACTTCAAAATCTTTAAAAATAATTGCAATAAATTCAGTAGCGCCGAGATCGAAAAGCGGCACCTGGCACATGTCACGGCACACATGTCGCTGTTATGCCACGTCATATGGATGTTCCCGTGGCCTGCCGGCAGGGGGCCAGTGCCTTGTCCCACATCTCATGTACATTTCGTTTCCAATGTTGCCAGAAAGCTCTTAGGAGAGCTAATCCCAGTTAAGGTTAGCGTAGCCACCGTTGCCAGTCAGAGTAATTGATAGCAGTGATAGGCTACTTTTTATGGCTTACATGATGGCGTCAACACAGCATTAACCTTTTTACTGACATATGTATGACTGGTGTAGCTGTTGGACTGCATACTGATAACATATTACATAGTTTCACTGTACGTTCTATTGAGCGCTATCACAAAATGTACATGAAACAACTTAATGGTGGTGGTGGAAGACTGGCGATTCTGGAGTAAAATATGAGTGGTACAAGGTGGTACAAGGCGCTGGCCCCCTGCCGGCAAGTCACTGTAGCTTCCATGTGCCGTGGCATAACAGCGATATGCAGCTGTTCTCGAAGTGGCCTATCCATGTGCCGCTTTTCAATCTCGGCATCATTCAATAAATTTGTATTGTAAAACCAGTATCTTGAGTTTAGTGTATCGTTACATCCAATCATTGTCACATTACCAGATTTTAAACTTTGATACAACCCTAGTAAAAAACAACAACATATCAATAACTGTGTTATACAACGGAAACAAAAATAGTTCAGTCTTTAGGGCCTGTGTCCTCGTGGCTGTTATTCATTTTTGATATATTTTATTCCCTTCACAACAAGAATCAAAAGGAGGATGCTTGCCCTCCTAATTTGTCTGGATAATGATCTTAACACTGAGGACAGTTCTGCTATCACAGCTCTGATCAGATACTGAGCAAGGAGGATGTGATCCACTATAATTGGCTGGTTGGACACTTAATATTGGGTAATTTATTGTTTTTGATAAGCAGAAATGGCAGACAGACACCTGCACACTGTCTACATTGTACAAAAACATTGGCAAGGTTCCAACATTGGCATTGTTGTTGTAAATTAGACAGTGCTCTCTCGCTCTCTCTCTCTCTCCTTGTTAAAAAATATGATGAAGGTTGAAAACAAACTAACTAAAATAACAGAGATTGTATGGTTTAAAAAAACACGATGTGGAAAAGTATGAGACATTTTGACAACCTTAGTGTAGAGACCTTCATGTGAGTGAACGTAGGCCACAAACACAACTACCAGTTACACACACACACACACACTCACACACACACATACACATACACATACACACACATACACACACACACACACACACACACACGTTAAACAGTATTTACAGCTGATACTCACACGATGCTAGCAAACCAGACTGACACTGAGTACAGGTGACATCCAACACCTGAGATTTCTCTTGACAGCTGACGTGACACGTCCTCACGATCTCACACAGTCTCGACCCGAAACCCCGCACCGTGTGTTTTATTTAACCGGTCAGCTAGCTAGCTACTCGGTCGATGTCCTGCCGTTTCCGCGTTTGAACGATCCGGTGACAACAACAGTCGGTATGATGACAATGTCAGACACTCAGCAGCCCGTCAACTTCGAGGGAAGCCCAGCGATCAGGCGGCCAAAACCCGGAGCCCTAACCGAGTCTGCTCGGTCCTGGTGATCGATATGTGACGGCTCCGTGTTATAAATACGTTAACTGTGAGAATCTAGCGACTACAGCCAGGTAAAGGTGCGGGGAAACGACAGAATTATCGCTAAAAATAGCAAAGTTTCACTCTACACTGTCAGGAACCGCCGCCATTTTATGGAAGAATTCAAGTGTGGTGGTTTGCAGGGGGGTGTCGGAACAAACTAAAACATTCAGACACAGCAAGTCGGAAAAAATACGTTTAAAATGTGTTTTAAATTCAAAATATTTTTTTTTAGTACATTGAACTCCTACTTTGTAGTTAAAGTGCATAAAATAAGTTATTTTTTAATTGTATTTACTTTAAAACTTCATTTGGCACTGTACTCGCAGTTATATTGTATAGTTTCTGCTTATAATATATCTACACTCATGCACTTTAACTTATGTCAATACATACATTACAACTCTGTTTTTTGCACACTTACATTGAATCTTCCATATGTAATTTACAACCTTCCATATTTAATCTTCCTACTTAAGACTAGTAATGCTTAGTTAAATCCTGGTTGTATATATTCACATTCTTAGTTCTGATATTTTTTAGTGCTCATTTACTTTGTATTTAATATTATATTATGTTTAGATTTGCTAACATTGTGTTTTTTACTCATATTGTGTGTTTGGATAACCTGCTGCTGTAACGCCACAATTTCCCAATTTGGGATCAATAAAGTAATTCTATTCTATTCTTTAAAAGCAGGCTATAGCCTTCTTTGTATACTTGTAAAGGTGTGCTATGTAGTTTTGGTAGAGAAATGTGAAAGCTGGAGAAATGTGCAGATTATGTGGTATATGTTCATAATTCTATACACAAACTGTCCCCGGAGGAATATTTGGTCCCTGTAACACTGAAGGTAAAATGCTACCTGAGAAGTTATCGTGGGGGGCCTGCAACAGTGAGACCGTAACTCTCCTGGTAGTTTTTTTCTAGCTCCAAACAGAGTTCCAGGGACCCATTTTTTTCTTTGAATAAAGTTTGTGTATTAAGTTCAGAAAATAAAATAAAGCACATCTTTGTTTAATTTCTCCAACTTTCAAATTTCACTACCAAATCTACAAAGTGCATCTTTAATGTGCTTACAAAATGTTAAAATATATGAGCATATTATGTAGTGTACCGGTATTTACCGGTTAAATATCTTCAACCAAACATTACTAGTATACTATGAATGCATTTTTAATGTAATTACATATTCATTTAATTATTTCATGAGTATTATATCCAGTCAAGTATTGACATAAATCAATTTATAGGCCTGTTTCTTGTATAGGTTATACATTTATCTATATAGCCTATTATCTGTTCTTTAAAAATAACAAAACAATTATTACGCCTTTTTCATTATTTATGTAACTAAACATATTTTAATAAATGTATCTTTTAGTAAAAAAAAAAAAAAAAAATCATTCTATCTACTGTAATTCCAACCATCCCTAATTAATTGTTGTAAATTATTACTTTTCGAGTTTTCTTTGACGACGTATTTCTCTGTTAAATGAGGGCCCGTGTTCCCGCCGTTGTCCCCTACATGCTGTGATAATGGTACGGTCCTGGTCTCAGCTGATATAAGGGAAACCCCTATGTGACGGCTAGGTTCCATCTGCGGCTGTCAGGGTGCCGCAGTTTGTGCTGTGAGAGGCCAAATGTGTAGTTTCTGAGCTCACAGCAGTTTTGTTTAGAGAGCAGGAGCGCTGAATCACACCCTGAGATCATAAAGGGCCTCTGTTTAGTTACAGAGCTGGCTCACACACAGACTGAACCAGGGCTAGCTTAGCCTAGGCTGTAAACAGGAGGCTGACCTGGTTCTCATGAGACTAGCACTCTGCAGTAGGACTGCCACCAGACCAGGATTTTAAACTTTGTCAAACGATATTTATACCTGTTTGATACCATGGCAACAAAAATGTAGGTCATGGACACCCGATATTGGACAATTTCTTGTTTTCACGCTCAGATAAAATTTGTAAATCTGTAAAATGCAGGTAAAATGGTCTAACTGTTAGCCAGGTACAATTAGCCAGCTGTTCATGTAAAATGGGACAGCTGTAAAGGGCCAGTTGTGCAGGTAAATGGTCTAGCTGTTCAGGAAACATTAGCCAGCTGTTTATGTAAAATGGTCTAGCTGTTCAGGAAACATTAGACAGCTGTTTATGTAAAATGGGACAGCTGTTCAGGAAACATTAGACAGCTGTTCAGGATAAATGGGTTCCGGTTGAAAGGGTCAGCTGTTCAGGTAAAAAGGGCCAGCTGTTCAAGATTAGCCAGCTATTTAATGCAATATGAAGTTGAACAAACATTTCATTTAAAAGTAGATTTCAAATGAACTGATCATGTTGAAGGTGGTGCAGTGGTTAGCACTGTATACAAATTCAGCCCCTACAGTTATCACAAAGAGATAATGAGCTCATCATGTTGTATTTTTTTTAAATTTCTGCTGTAAAGTTGGACATTTTGACATGGGGATCTATGGGGTTGGACTCACCGTAGGAGCTAGTGTCTGGTGGACACTTGAGAAACTACAGTGTTTTGCACTTTTGGATTGGCATAATTTTTTTAATAACCGGAAGTTTTGCTTGATACACATAATATTGATAAGTTCTCCTGCAGGCTTGGAGAACAGGGAGCAGACACAAGCTGGTCTGCAAGTTCGCCTCTAGATTTCACTACAGTCAGGCTACAAGTGGCTTTTCTTTTTTTTTCACTCACTCATTCTGTTCCCCACTGTGATGTCACCAAATCAAACAAGAACTGAGATAATTAAAACAGATATTTAAAATATTGTTTGGGAATATCATGATTTTTAATGGTACATTAAAATGGTATATGCGTAAGTTTTTAAGTGTGTTTGCTGTGTGTGTGTTAGTCTTTTTTCAGTGCTCTCAGAGCAGACACGGACAGGAGGATGAGCAACAGCACAGCGCCTGTGGTGTAGAGCAGCAGCAGCAGGATCACACACCAGCAGTAAGTCTGTGGGAAACAGCATAACACAATCAACAAGACCTTAATAAACTTTGTTTTATACTTTGCTCCTTAGACTGTGTAAAAAGATGGACAACATGACAGCTCCCTGAAAGTGAAGCGAAAACATGTGTAGCTCCCCCTGCTTACAGGCTGTAAGTCATTCGGACTAACAGCTGTGTTGATGCTCCAGCAGCATTCTGTGCACTGGCTTATTAAGAGGAAACATATCAAACACCTACACAAGAGTCATTGAACTCTCTGTAATCGGGATCGTCTGCTTCAAACTGACACAAGAATCTGTTCTGCTGTGGACTGTACCCACTTGAGGGGCCTTTGAACTCTTAGCAGGAAGTTAACGGTGTGTGTGGTTAGAGGAAGGGGGGGTGGGACGTCTATTCTGAAGCTCCAACAGCAAATCTCCACTACACAGACTGGCTCTGAATGTGTAGGCATTTTGGTTCAATGTTGTAAAAAAGGAGGAGGCTGAGACTGGTCGTCCATCTTTATATACAGTCAATTTTTTCTTTTTCTCACTCACTGCCAGCAATTCTCCGGGACAATTTTGAGCTGAGCGATAGTAGTCCATGTGATGGATGAGGGGGAGGCAGGGTTCTGTGTTTTGGACTTCGCTCAGCCTGTAACAGTACAGGCAGAAGGCCAGCGTCGCCCCCAGCAGGCTGACCAAGTTACTGCACGTGCAGCCCCGGAGCTGTGGAGGAGATCAAGATCCATGACTGAGCACTTTAAGAGATCTAAACACTGATTAAAGTGAAGGAAAATGTATTCTGTGTCGTCTTTACTGATGAGATTTTTAAATACAATTTCTATTATTTTCATGATCATTGGTATCAAAAAGTAAAAAAAACTACTACAGATCTTCAGACATATTTTAACCAAAACCTGTTGCAAGAGAAAGCGAGAGCCCTGTTTAAGTTGCACAAAAATATTGGCAACATTTTGAAAAGAGAGAGGAGCTGCAGAGGAGCTGCAGAGGAGCGAGGGTCTCCTTCTTTTCCAAACATTGCCAATGTTTTTGTGCAATTTCAACAGTGTGCACGAGTTTGTCTGCAACTTTTGGTCATTAAAAACAGGACATTAACCAATATTGGCAGCCAAGTACTTGTACTTTTGTTGCTGTGTTAATAAAACAGGGATCATTATTGTTTGATCTACAATGTTTGACAGTTTAAAAATATGTTGCCATGACAACCCTAGTGATGTCGAACCAGCAATTAACTGAGACATTAATTTAAAGTGAAAAATAAAGCGATATTCTGTTAGAATAAATAAAGGTTGTTAAACCTCAGATTCATTATTATGTGTGAACCATAGGTGTGAACATACCAGCAGTCTGCTCGGGTTCCTCTCATTGGCCACAGTGAACGACCCTCCTGCAACTATCTGCAACACGAACACAAACACACACACACACACACACACACACACACACACACACACACACAATACACACTGTTAAACTATTAATCTTGCTGTAGATTAAATTTTATTATTTCAAACCTTTCGTAATGAAACCTATGCATATTTCCTGACACTTTCATTCTTTAACATCACAATCTAAATACATAAAATCATATATCCAAAATGTATTTTAATTGAAAATGTGTTCGGGTTATTTTAAATACAAGTATGTCAAACATCCTATAAAGATTTATTAAAAATATGATAGGGACAAGTGTTCAGACGATGATTCAGAAAAAAGTGGTCAAGTTTAAAGCACAACCACTGCGTTGAGGACTATAACCTCTGCACGTGGGGCACACTACATGACTGGTAGGTTATCTGGCGCTCGCAGCAGATATTATTTGACCTTTAATGTGAGTGTTATAATTACATCCTCTGAATGTGTGTACATACAGATCCTGTAAAATCAGAAGCTGCTTCTTGTTTTTCACGCAGCAGCAGCTGTTAACATACTGCAGACACTTTGGTTCAGATTTGATTGAAGACAAACCCTTCTTTAATAACTTTGCTAAGATTTTATTTGAAGTATATTTTATATATTTCATTCAGTGGAATTTCTTGCAGTTGCATCACCTGATTTTAAAACTAAAATAATAAAAAAGTGCTCATTTTACACCTCCTCAAACTTTTTGCGATTTTAACACAGGATTTACCCCCTGACGTGACATTCATAAGTTCAAACTTTGATCAGTTTTGCAAGGGATCAACAGTCTCTTTAAGTCTTAATGATGAAAAAACCAAGGCACTCTTCTGAAAAAAAGAGCCTTTAATAAATTGGTAATTTCATCATAGAAATGTTAAAAACAAGATAAGTAATCAAAGAGCTGGGCACCACTTCCTATTTAGTGTTTTTAATCTCTTTATTTAAAATCACAGTCCCATGTTTACGAACTGTATATAAAAATGGACAGCGTGACTCAGCCTCTTCCTGTTGAACAGCATGTGAGGTGTGTTTGTAAAGGTGTGTTTACAGTTACGTACAAAGATTCCTAAGACCAGCGGCAGGATGAAAAGTAAGGGCGCTTGGAAGCTGGCGTACCCCAGAGGGACCGACAGAAACACCTGGAACAACCCCAGCAGGATGGTCACCACCTGTAAACACACACGCACGCACGCACACACAGACACACACACAGACACATAGACACACACATAGAAACACACACACACACACACACACACACACACACACACATAGACACACACACACACGCACACAGACACACACACACGACACACACGCACACACACACGCGCACACACACACACACACACGACACACACACACACACACACACAGACAACACACGCACACACGCACACACACGCACACGCACGCGCACACACACACACACGCACACACACACACACGCACACACACACACGCGCACACACACGCAGACGCACACGCACACACACACACACACGCACACACACACAGACACACACACACACACACACACACACACACACACACACATGCACGCACACACAAACGCACACACGCACACAAACGCACACACGCACACACACACGCGCACACACACACACACACACACACACACGCGCGCGCACGCACACACACGCACACACACGCACACACACAGTTTTAAACTATTCTAAATCTTCATTCATGTAAGTTTAAAGACAGAAATCTGTCCTGATCTCACCGCAGCAGTTTCAGGGTCAAACCAGGTTGTCAGACGATGTAACTTGAGTTCACCTGCTGGCTCCGCCCCCTCAGAGGACATGTTGCTGAAAAACAGGAGGTAAGATTAGAACAGCAGTAACTCTACATTGTAATTTTAGAAACCATTTAGCTTTCTAACACGTGTCCTGTACCCAAACATTAACATTCACAAAAAGTTTCTTCTTTTGTTTTGATGCAGATACACTACTTTCCAATTAATAAAACATGATTAAAGAGTGTCCTTCCAATGGATAACACTTCCTGAGGTGCAGACTAAAGTGATCTCCACATGAATAAAATGCAGTAAAGTGCCCTCGCAGGTTCCCTCCTGATGGATAACATGTGATATAATACCCTCTCAGGTGCAATTCTGTTGGAAAACTGCTACATGTTGGAAAATCTGTCTAACTTTACGCCCCTTTTTGTGAGTCAATGTGCCTTTTTGGGATGCTTCTATTGATGAAAATACACCTGAGTGTGTTTACTTTGCCAAATATACCCTAGATAACATGGCGTACAGATGGTGCCCTTTTTATGTTTTTCACCCTCTGCCCTTCAAATAGCCTGAGTATGCCACATAAACATATAGTCCTTAATGCTGTAGCAGTCAGACATTGGTAGTGTGTATTTGATAGTGGAGCCTCCTGTGGTGTAGATACAATATCATAGTCATTACACTATGCTGTATGTGGTCATTACACTTCTAGCGCTCACCTTAATCCCAACATTACACAGCTGTAGGAGGTACAGTATGTCCCCTAATGCCGGATAGACACAATAACAGATTCATAGAACCAATTTAACTGGGGAAATTAATGTTTTCATTAGAGAACTATGTTTAAACAATGAGAGCGAGAGAGAGAAAGAGAGAGAGAGAGAGAGAGAGAGAGAGAGAGAGAGAGGGGTAGAGAGGGAGAGAGGGAGAGAGGGAGAGGGAGGAGAGGAGCAGACAGTATGAGAAAACAAAGAACACAAATAGACCCAAAAACCAACAGAGACACACCATGTGATCGTAGAGAGGGCAGAGGGCAGAGGACAGTGGGAATCCTACCACTCTAACTAGTGTGTGTGTGTGTGTGTGTGTGTGTGTGTTGTAGTGTTTACATGCATGGGTCTGTTGGGAAAGAGAAGGCGGGATTGAGAAATGTGTACAAAAGAGGTAATGAGAGAGAAAAGGGGAACAGAGAGGAGAGAGAGGGAGAGTTCATGAAAACCACATGTCAGAATCCTCTTAGGAAAGACAGGAATGCAACAGGATGAGAAGCAGATGTGAGGAGAAAGATGAAGAAAGAGGGAGGCGGAGGGGGGATAAGAAAAGAGTGCATACTGAAGAGGAGTGAGGGACGGAGGGTCAGGTTTATGATTAAATGAGTTGACAAGACCATGTGGAATTGAAGGGAACATTTTATGCATTACAAGTCGACAAACAAGGTCATTAATTATTTTTCATGCATGCATTTTTGTCCATATGCTGCTTTATGTCATGTACTTTTCACATAAAAAATTATCAGAGTGGGCAAAGGAAGGTAGTTTGAGAATTTAGTTGGGGAGTGCAAAATGTTCTCAATGTCATTAGAAACTTAGTGGATGACATGTAGACCCGCTGTAGAAAGAATATTTTGCATTAAATGTTACTGTGTTAGAACAGAAAGCTATATATAAAAGACGTGCAAGCCGGAGAAATAAAGATATAGACTGGTATACACAGCGGTAAATATTGACATAGACATGGTACATAAAGGTATAGACAGGGTACATACAGACATAGAAGAATTAAAGGTACAAAAAAGAAACATAAAGGCAGAGAAAGGCTACATAATGACATAGATGGTGTACCTATAGCCATAGATAGTGTTAATGCGATAAAGACCTGCATAAGGCATATACAGGGTACACACATGTAGCAAGGGCACATAAAGGTATACAGCTGATAAATGTAAGTAAGGCAGGGGAAAACAGATAAAGATAATGGATGTACAGATGTATGCAAGGTGCATAAAAGAACAACATGGTACATGCAGGCCTAGATATAATACACACTGGCAGAGAATGGATGTAAGCAGAAATAGAGAGCATCAACATGATCCACATGAACAGGGTACAGACAGAGTTTTTTTCAGATAGAAAAAATGTAGTTTAACAGGATAAGGTACACACAAGACTCGTGAAGATATCAGGAGGAAACATAAAGGTTTGTACACATCCGTGTACAGACAGGGTGTACACTGGTACTGACAGATAAAGAGAGGGTACAGTTTTAGAGATAAACACAGCAAACATGAAGGTATACCAGGTACAGACACGGTGCTGTATGGAAAGGTTAGGTTAGGATCATTCTAAGGGCCCAGGACTGATCAGTGACCAGAAAATCTGTTTCTTTCTGTTAATCTTTTTAAATATTTGATCATGCTTCCCAAACTCTGATGCGTTCACACATATGCATGAGGTGTTTATTATGTAATCTGATGAATTGGTAAACTAGCCAATATAAATGTGAAATATATTATTCAGCTGTTGCACACAGGAAGACACACTTCGATAGTTTTAAAGGTTCAGAACTATTAGAGCTTCAAACATGCCGTCAGACTGATACAAAGAGGTCTTTGTTTTTTGTTTTTTTTACATCAGACAATAAATCTAACAGCTTGATTAAGTTTCTGTTTAATTCCCTCTTACAGTTTTGTTTTTCTCAAATTCAAGTACAAAATGAAATGAAATAAATCCACTCTGACGTCGATGTAAACATTTTACAGTTTATGGAGATCATATGACGCATTAACCCTTGTCTTTGTTGACCAGCACAACAGAGACTGACGCTGCCCTTCAGATGGGCTTCTTACTGTTTACCTTTATTTGTAACATTTAAACCGTGTCGCATTGAACAGAGTTACTCACCCCGAAGTAGAGTTAAAGACTACAGAGCTGCCTGGTATGTCTGCTAAAGAATCCACGGGGTTTCAGTTCGTCTTTTGCGACCTGCAGATAAACTTTTAACGTAAAAATCCCGAAAATAAGGATTTCTTTTTTTTTTTGAAGAACGAAACTATGAAAGGAAGAGAAGGAGGAGCTCCGTTGGAGCTCAACCAGAATCAGAACAATATCTCCCCTCTCTCTCTTTCTCTCTAATAAACACATCCACTCTCCCACCCTGCTCCAAAAAAGCAGATGTCAGGAGGAGCTTTTTAAATCAAGAGACGTCGGGGAAGACTAACTCGTCTGTGAAGTCATCTGCAGAGAAAACGGTAAGAATGAAACATCTTTCGCTGTATGAGGATTAAAAGCAGCCTGGTGTAACATACATGTATTTCACAGTTGGATCAGTAAACAGATTGCTCCTGAACACTGAAACGATTTCTCTCAAACAGCAGAAACTTCAACAGCCCGAGTCTGATTACGCAACTCGCTCCTGATCCGTTAGTTCGTAAAGAACGCGTAAACAAAGCAAAACAGTCCTCTGACCAGATCTATGGCACCCCTCGTTGGGTCCGGTTTAGTGGGACAACATCCCAATTCTCCGTGTCCTCCCAGTATAAGAGAGCCGTCTCCCTAGTCAGTGCTGCTCCTCTAAATGGAGCTCATCTGGAGGTCGGACAGAAACACGCTGCGCTCTGGTTCACACCTCGGCCAGCACCGGAATTTCAATAAACCCGGTATATATTTCACATCTACAATGATGTGAAACATGGCAGCCGCTCGGTCCAAACATTATTCAGACATAAAACATGTCAGGTGGAGGAGGAAGAGGAGACTTTTCTTTATTTATAGGAACCAGCTTTTAACCAGGTCGGCGTTCACATAAAATGAATTTGGCTTTGTGTAATTATAATGAAATAATGACTTTTGACATGAAAAGTAAAAAGCTAGTGAACTATAACTGTAAGGGGACTTCAATGAAATAAGATATAGCCTATAACTCTTAAAGATTAGACAATCACAATGACTGATCTTTAATTGTAGTTGTCAGTAACATTAACTGATAATTAACAACAGTCCTTATTGGTGTGAGGTTACTGAGGTGGGCGGTGCAGAGTGGTGCATGAGTTGAAGGAGTAGGCTATACAGAAAGTGAGCATGGCAAAGCAAAGATGACTCACTAAAAAAAGAGGATAGAGCAATCATCATTAAGTTTACCAACAAATCCAAAATATTTCTCCCTGCGACATTATTAAGTATTTCTGTTCTGATTTCTGATATCTGCTTCTGATCAATTTGACTGGCTCTTAAAAAAAGGTTAAAAAGAAACTTTGATTTATATGAAATAAGTCCTTTTAGACTATGGCTCATTTTAGCTTAACCATTGAGGTAAAATGGGCAACATAAGTATACACTCTGACACATGATTTAAACAGACATTTAAAGCAAATCCAGTTCATTGATCTACATATGTATCTGCGCAACCTTTTAATAATCCTTTTTTTTCACCCAATCCAATCTTCGAGATTGAAGTCTTTATTGCTGGAAAGTAAAAGGCTTGCATTTGAAATGCTCTCATTTGCATTTTGCACCATGAATGTTGAATCTTAGATTTAAATATTTATTTTTACATTTGATCAAACATTAATCACACTAATGCCACAAACAGTACTCTGAATTCTGAATATTAGAACACTACTTTATTTTTAACTTAATGTTTCTAATATAATTCTCAAAATGTTCTGATCCTATTAGCACCATCAGGGAAGTCTTTGATTTACTGGAAGCTCATTATCTTCTTTCAAAATAAAATAAGGTTTTTATCCAGGAAGTAAATAGGCAACAAGAACAGTTTTTAAATGCAAAATCATAGAATATCAAACTTGCATTACAAAATATGATTAATCCCGATTAATGCTTGAAATTCAGGAATTAATTGCAATTAAAAAAATAACAATTTGATAGCCCTAAAAATGTATTCATCATTTTGTCGTAAATAAAATAAAAAAGACCTAGTAACGTTAAAACCCCCCCACTAGACCAGAGATTTTGTCTACAGTAACTACGTCCCGTGGTTCTGTGAGATCTGGTCTACAGACTCTGACTTCTGCTGCCCCCTGCAGGTGATGGCGGTAGCAATCTCCAGGGATCTGACGGTGCAGGTGCTGGAGGATGTGAACACTGTGAAGCTGTCGGACCAACAGCAAGCTCTACGTGCTGCCATCCAAAAAGGAGAACCCAAAAGTCTGGGGGTGAGTAACAACTACATGAACACTGAACATATCTAGATCATTCCAGTAGGACTGCTCCTGAAAAAAACATGCAGAACACGCAGAAAGGTCGGACGAAGCAACAGAGTCCGCTACACGATTCTATAATGAGAATATTTGCCTCACGATATCAACAAAAGAGGTGAGAAGAACATGCTGGAGAACAGTAAACGTAATGCAGTCGTTCAATTCTGTGCACAGAGATCGTAGCGGTCTTATGCATTCAGACTACGGACCATTCACTGGTCACAAGATATAAACCTCACCATCCTCTCCCACTGGCTCGAGGTGAATTCTTGAGCCAGGAGAAACCAAGGAGAAACTTCAGTGAAAAATGTGTCAGTTTGTGTTCACACAGCTCCTCCTGCAGATATCAGGAGTTTTCACGAGTTTTCTGCAAGTGTTAATGCTGATTTGTCTGTTTTTAGATTGATCTAAATTCATGTACAGTCAGAATTTCCAAACATGGCGACCGCCATCACTGGGTTTCAAAACTCCTCTTCAGTAACCATTGATGACATCACTGAGACCACGTCAGTCCTGATATAGCGTTTGAAAAAACGCTTTATTTTGATTATTGTTTTGTCTTCATCCACGTTATTTTAACGTGTGTGTGTGTGTGTGTGTGTGTGTGTGTGTGTGTGTGTGTGTGTGTGTGTGTGTGTTGTGTGTCCAGGTGGCTCAGGTGATGCTGGGACTGATGGTCATGTCTTACTCGATCCCCCTGCACTGCACTGAGGTCACTGAGGTGGTGCTCCTCGGCGTCCCCTGGTGGAGCGGACTGATGGTGAGATTCTTCTTCTTCATTGGTTTTAATGTTGATTCCTTCTGATGTAACACGTTTTCAAAGAAGCTAGGTGGAACAGTTAACTTGAGCTAAATTGGACAGAGTGTAACTTAAAATGAGCCCTTCCCATATCGCTCAGTTGACTCCTGGATTTCTAAAAAAAAGACTCCCATCTCACTGTTGTGAAACACAGGTCTGTTTGAGGTTTCAGTAAACATCATGTGTGGAAGAACACGACACACTTTGATCTTTGTTTTAATAACACATTTAAAATTCTGGGCTTCTTGGTAAGGTTTTTTTTTGGCCCATCAATAATTCTGACATTGATATAAGACTGACTCTGATATAAACTTGGCTCAGATATAAACCTGACTTATATTAGTCAGAGTCAGGTTTTTATCAGAGTCTGATATAAACCTGGCGGTAATATAAACCCGATGCAAATATAAACCTGACTCTGACACTGATTGTCCTCCATCTTTTAGTTCATCATAGCAGGAGTGATTGCCATCATCCTCGACAAACACGGCACCATGAACATTGTGAGTCTAAACACAGTCCATATGGTCTGTGACTTACACTCAGGTTTGGACCTGCAGCTGCTTTAGTGATTCTTTTATTTATAAATTCACATTCTGAAATAATATAGGCTATGATGATTAATGTTTGTACGTGCTAAATCCACCGACAGTGCCAGCATGAAGATGATTCCAGAGGCAAAACAAGAGTGATTGCTGAATTGTTCAACATTAGTAGCTGCTTGGTGAAAAGCCTTTGCAATGTCTGTCTACCATGATGCTTTACATTATTTTAATATGAATAATTATTTAAAATAACTATGATTATTTCTCAAATCTTCCACAATCACTCAGTTTTTTGTTTACGTAATAAAAGGAGAATGTAAAGCAACAACCCTACTTCCCATGGCTTCCTCTTTTCTTGTTGAATTTTTGTGTTATTTTGCAGCTCCGTGTGTGTCTTCTGGTGAGCGTGGTGTCCACCTTGCTGTCTGTGGTGGCTGTGATCATCTACTCTGTGGACATCGATAAGAACGTAGAGCCACTCTGCGTGAAGTCTCAGCGTAGCAGATGCAGCCAGAGATACTACGCCATGGTTAGTGTCAGCAAGCTGTCATGCAGACAGAAAAAGCTTCTCAGATTATTAGAGATATTTATTTTGGTATCAGGAGTGTTGTTTCTTTTTGCAGTCTGAGTTGTACCATGCACGAGGGTTTCACTTTGGCTGTTTATTGGAAAGCAGTCAGGTTCTGATTCACAAAACTATTGAAATTTACAAAACACACACCAAGGGTTAAATGCTCGCCTAACTGACCTGCAGAGCAAACAGCATTTCAGTGCATCCATTATGGAGTCATTTGAGGAAAAATTGCTTACAAAAGAGGGAAAAGGTAATCAGCCATAGATAACAAAATGTAAATTATATGATCCCAGAACAAATGTCCCAGGTGTATTAGAGTGTCTCATTTTGGACCTGGGAAGACCTTACATATATGTCTGTATTATTTTAGTTTCTTCTCTGAGCTGCAGAAACATGCGATAAAAACCCACCGAGCTGATAAAGGGCTGACTCTGACTGTTTTCACTTCCTGACCAGCTTTTTTAGGGAACAGAGAGCAAAAATATTTCATCATACTGCTGCTACATCTGTTTGTGCTTGACATGCAGTTTAAATGTCACACGCTACACATTGCACAATCCCTGTGTTGTAAAAAGCAAATACATGAATTAAAAAATTGAAAATCTGTACAACAACAGCTTGTTCTTTGTAAAAAGATGTGTTAGTTTAGTTCATCATGTCGTTTCCTGTGAGGAATCATTTCCAAGAATGACTATGTGACTGTGAGAAAAATGCATTTTTTTTGTAACATGTTGTAGTATTGAACATCTCTTTGAGGAGTTTAAAACTGAAAATAACCTTTACTTGTAAAGAAAGTAGAAAGCTTTATCTGTCTATGAACATCACAGGACACATTTATGTGTTAGTCCAAACAGGCCGAATAATTACAGTGATCTTCATACAAAGATATAAACCATCAAATGTGTTTGAACATCCTATTCTCATTGGTTGCATTAATTCCCGATAATGGACACCCATAAATAAGTTTAAGTAAAACTAATTTGTCCTTAATTAATTGACAAGACTAACATCTATTGAGTAGAGTAATGAACCAAGAGGCTGTTTACGTGACTATTGAAGCTGAAAACGGGAACCTTTTGTCAGGTTTTGGCTGTTTGTTAATACCACAACAGCATTTAGGCCTGAAAACACAAAGTTATGAATCCTAATTCCAAAGTGTAACCTTTTGAAAATGGCACCCTCTCCATCTTCGTGTAAACTGGCAATATGCAGTTCCTCTAAAAACTGTCTTTTTGCACATGCTCATTACATTTCCAGTCCATAGACATGAGCGATTACAACAGCAAGGGCGGGCGATGGAGTATTTCGACTGGCATGACTCACAATCAACATTTTCACTGTTTCTAGTTTAGGGTCGCTAGGAGTAGTAGCTCCACCTCATCTCCACCTCATTGTCTCTCCACACTAATGTTTGTGTTTTCCATTTTAATGTAATCCACTGTGTGCTGGATATGACAATAACAATTTAAAAAGATAGATACATTTGTGGTCTTAATGATTTTGGGGTGAAACATACATATTCTTGGACTGGTTTTAACCATAAAACATAGCAGTTTTTTATATTGTACCTTTAAGAGAGTGTGTACTTCTCTACACCTCCCTCATGCATTGATTTCTGCTTTCTTCCTCGTGATTATTGAACTTGAATCTTCAGAGTTACACGTAGATATGGTTATTATCACATAAAAACAGACTTGAGAGGTCTTGTCCTTTTCTCAGGCAAGTGAAATAAGCAGGATAATGTCTGTCTTGTCTATCCACATTTCCAATAAATTCCTTTTATAAACACCTTTTAAGAATCTTTAAAATATGTTCTTTGCTTTCATTGTAATTAATGAATGATGTGAGTTAATACTGTGTGTGTGTGTGTGTGTGTGTGTTCAACAGAAGCTGAGCAAAGGGGTGAAGTCGTCCCTCCTCGTCTTCACGTTGGCTCAGACGGTGGTATCCTCCATTGTCTGTTTCCTCCTCTTCAGACAGCGACGCAACTTCGGACAGTACTCTGTAAGAACACTGTTTCTTTTACTATTATCAGAAAATACACCTGATTTATCCTCACAGCTAAAGTCCCAACACACACACACACACACACACCTGTTAAACTGAAACAGTTGTATTTAAATTCCCAGTGATTCTCAGCTCAGTACAGTCAGTCTGATGACATCATTACTAGCATCTTGTGTTGTTCTAGAAAAAAGGCAAAGGATTCATGTCATTGTCTTTCGTTTATTTAATAAATACTCATTGTCAGTGATGCTGTGATTACATGGGGTGGCACGGCTGTGTCTCAGTTGGTAGAGTCTGCCGTCTCCTAACCGGAAGGTCAAGGGTTCGATCCCCAGCTCCTGCAGCCAAATGTCCGATGGGCCCATGGGCAAGACGCTTAACCCCAATTTGCTCTCGCTGCTTCCTCAGCGGTGTTTAAGTGTGTTTGAATGTGTTTGTTACTTCTGATGGTCACTTTAGCGGCCTCTTCCATCAGTGTGTGAATGGGTAGGTGTGACATGCAGTGTAAAAGTTTTTTTAGCAGTCAGAACACTAGAAAAGGGCATTACAAGCTGAAATCCATTTACCATTTACATGTTTAGACTTTGGATTCCTCTCTAATTAACCGTCCACAGCCAACCATAAAATGACCATATGTCTGAGTAGTAATCATCACCAAAGGGTTTCAATGAAAACTGAACTCTGGATCAACACAGGATTTATCAGGTTTAACCCAGGATTATCTCTGAATTTATGTCGGATTGACTCAGGAGTAACTAAACCTATCATGTGGAATAAAGTATTTACTCAGTATTAGTTCAGGATTGGCAAAGACTTGACCTCAGATTAACTCAGGATTAAACGGGTGTGTATCTAATGATTAACAATGGTTTTATTGAGGTTGAACTCAGGATTAACTACGGTTTGATTCAAGTGTAATTTAGCCTCGTGATTAACTCAGGATTAATCTAGGTCAGTGATTCTGGCCCCTACCAGTTTGAAGATCCTTTAAGTTTCAAACTAAATTCATACCAACAGGAAAGATCTTTCCAACACTCAAGCTCAATACACTTTGTACATCATAATGAACGTCAATGCATTTTTTTTTTAATAACCTGAATGCTTCAAGCACCCTATTATGCTGATTTCTTTCTTTCTGTTTTTTTTTCAGTCTCTCTCTGCTGGTGGTCCCTCCACACCCACATTACTTATCCCCCCTGACCTGAACTGATCTCTGATAAGACCAGCAGACATCAATCACCTGATGATCAGATTCAATATTCCTACATGTTTTTAACATTATCAGCTGTGTCTGATATGAGACCAGCTGAGGGGCACAAAAGTTAAAATGTTTTCACGACAGTCAGAATATTTGAACACTTCAGACGGATGAGACAAGAAATCCTTTAAACTTAAAAAATTGTTGATACAACAAACATTAAACAATACTACAAACATAAAAGTTGACAAATGTGTGTTTAAGTTCCCTTAAAATGTGTTTGATTTTTAAAACAATAGGACTGCATAGGTGAGGAGGAAATGCAAAGACAGGCTTATTAGCACCCCCTGTCTGCTGTCTCCTGTTTCCTGCGTATTGAGTGTTCCCTGGAAGTGTGTGTGTGTGTGTGTTTGCGCGTGTGTGTGTGTGTGTGTGTGTGTGTGTGTGTGTGTGTGCATGTGTGTGCGTGTGTGTGTGTATGTGTGTGTGTGTGTGTGTGTGTGTGTGTGAGAGTGTGATTTTAATTAATATCATGTGCACTGTTTTACTTTAACCTCAGATATAATAAAGATATGTTTTTTGTACTAACTATGATAAAGTTTGTTTATTTTATAAAGAATAAAATCATATTTACTGATAAATTCAAATTGGTCGGCGCCTGAGTATGTTTGCGTAAATGAATTAATTTCAAGTAGCACTGCTCCACCTCTTCCCGTCGTTCAAAGTGGAGCCAAAATCCTCCCCATGACAGGCTCTGAAGACTTGTTCTAGTGACATCATCCAGAGTCTGAGCAGAAGAGATCAGAGCTGCTGTTATGACATCCCCTTCCTTTCACCAAACATGCATTTAACTTCCTGCTAAAAGGTCAAAGGTCCCTCAGGTGGGAACAGTCCACAGCAGAACATATTTGTGTCAGTTTGAAACCACTCATGGTTATGGAAAGTTGACTCTTGTGTTAGTGTTTGATACGTTTCCTTTCACCGCTGTTCTTCTACTCTAACAATCCGGTGCACCCAGCGCTGCTGAGTCTCATTTGTCAGAAAAGCTGTCAATCGTGATGTTATTCTTCTTTTTATAGCATCGAATAACTCATTCACATTAAACATGTCAGAAAAATAAAATCTTGGACAGAAATCAGCACGATAAGATCTAACTTTAATGACAGAAACAATCTTTGAGAAAATTGTATTTGCCGTGTATACTGATTTTGATCCATGTCCCATCTGTTAACATAGAGGAGGCGGAGCTTATGATCTATACTGCAGCCAGTCAGTAGGGGGAGCTCTGAATGTTTTGGCCTCTTATACAGTCTATGGTGAGTGTGTGTGTTTGTTTATGTATAATCCTTTTTGTTTACACAGTCCTTTTTGCATGCAGACTTGGTACTCTTGATCTGCAGGCTTAATGTTATCTCTTCTCTGTTAAACTGAACATTATTTTCAGTTTTGTATCAAAGAAATGCTTATGTAAATATTTAAAACACTTAAACTACACTGATCCTATTTGACTCTGTTCTATTACTTTTTATATTGAGATGGCAGTGCAGTCAGACGCACAACCCAGTGCTCTGTTTTTTGAGGTTTTTTATTCATAGTTCCGGATTATTTCTGAGTTGCCGCTGACAATAGCTGCTAAACCGTCTCATTGTTTTTATATAGATGACTAAGATCTATTCTATTCAATTATGATTCTATGGTTGTTTTTTTAATATGACCAGAAAAATACTGTAGGTCCTCACTTGGTCAGTGTACAACAATAGTCCTCTGTTTGTAATGTAGGCATGTATGTGTGTGTTTGAGCAGGGAAACAACAGAACACACACACACACACACACAGATCTCAGGGCCTCATGCTTCAGACGTCATGGAAAACATAAAGATCTCCATCATGGCACCAGATGTTTGTCCCTGCAGCTGTCCCTGCAGACTGTTAACATGTGTTAAAGCAAAGAAAACTATTACACAGCTGAGCCTGAACACAAAAAACACACAATTGTGTGTGATTCATCTGCTAACAATCTGAGTTAGAGTGTTAGTAGTGAATGAGTCAGCTCTATGTGTAGGCTTTTTCGCTTCATGGACTTTCTGACACAATTTTCTTTTACCGGCAAACCTCCACAACCCAAAAATGAAAACGGCTCCGCGACCCACTTTGGGTCTCAACCCACCAGTTGAGAACCAGTGGTTTACAAACACAAAATATTGGGTTATCACAAAATAAAAAATAAAATCTTGGACAGAAATCAGCACGATAAGATCTAACTTTAATGACAGAAACAATCTTTGAGAAAATTTTATTTGCCGTGTATACTGATTTTGATCCATATCCCATCTTTTAACATAGAGGAGGCGGGGCTTATGAGCTATACTGCAGCCAGTCAGTAGGGGGAGCTCTGAATGTTTTGGCCTCTTATACAGTCTATATATTCAAAATATGGAGTTATCACAACATTTAGAATAACTTCTAGCTAAATTGACTTAAATTTTAAGTTCCCATGACTAACTGATAGTAGATGATAGTCGAGCGAGCTTCTTTCTAAATTTATCTTTATTGTATTGTTAATATAGTTGATAATAACGTTGTAATATTGTAGTTTGTGTATATAGTGGGTTGAACTTCAGTGGTAGCAGCTGACAGCTGAAGACCAGGTGGCAGTTAACATTGTCAAGGTAACAGTGGACTCCACCAATCAGAGATGTTGATTTGAGACTCTGGTTGTCTCCCACAGGAGTATAAACCATCGTTTTAAATCCAGGTAGCACTTTGGATGGTTGGATGGTTATCAAATCTGCTATGAAGAAAATTAATGATATTTTTACTTCCAGAACAACACTGTTCAGCTCTATTACACAGCTGAACGAAACGATCCGGATCATTTAAAAGAGATGGAAATCCCACCACTATCATGAAGCTGTGCAGAGTACACAAACATTTGTGTCCGTGTAAATAGTTCTCATTAAAAACACTGGCCGCTAGAAGCTGAAACATCCACTGCAAAATGTACTGAAACAAATTGTGAAATTCAAATTAAAAAAATAACTTTATTTGTCCCCGGGTGTCAATTCAAATTCAAATAAGGTCTGGTGTTCATGAAATCTTTTTATTTCTTCTATCAAAATGGACATTTTGATAATGGTTGTGTGTGGGACATCTGGGTCACACTTGTGGAATTGCAGTGTTTTGCAACTTCTACATTAGCTTCATTTTTCCAACACTGCTTGGTCTGTCTTGGCTGGAGGGTCCTGTTGTATTCTTGTCCCTCTGATGACCGTTTCCTGTCCATCCACAGAGCGCTCTTCATTCTTTTTATTCTCTCTTTTTTTTAAACACTGTAGGAATGTCAGTGTTCTCTAATGTGGACTATTTTGGACTTACTGACCCACTGAGACCCTGAGAAACAGTTTGTGTGGTTGTAAGTTTGTGTGTGCGTGCGCGTATGTGTGTTTGTGTGTGTTGATCGGTCAGTATTACCTCATGGTGTAAAGTTCAGACATGCTTTCTCTAAGCAAACATATGTACGCAAACAGGGAACGTTTAACAGACTAGAACTGAAGATCTTTACACTGACCTTAATTTTTCTTTAAATAATGATTGCGTACTTGTGTCTGTCTGTTTATTTTTCGTCTGATTATGTTGCTGTGTTTAGAGATGTCAGTGAAAACATACATGGAGAGGGTGGATAATTTTAGCTCAGTGTAGAGCCAAAAAACAAGATAATAACACACTAACACACTAACACAGAGTAACACTGCACCAAAAGAATTCTCATGAGGGTCAACAAATGAGGGGCTGATCACTTTATCTCACACTGACACAGAAAGGTCCTCTGTACTAAAACTAGGACAGCAGCAGTCTTTCTCTGAACTAAGGGAACATTTCACTCCCACAATGTGACATGAACTCTGACATATCAACCAATCAACAACCGCCAGGGCTGACAGATGAAGCTAAAAGTAAGCTAAGTACCAAAAAGTAAATCCCCATAGAGCCCAATATTTAAAATATCCAACTTAACAGCAGAAATACATGTTTATAGCCTAGTACAAAAACAGTAACTACTTGACCACTGGAGCCACTGGATTTTAATTCAACTCACCTGTTTACATAAAGTAAGGCTTAAAGGGATGTAGAATAAGGGGCGTGACCTCTTTGAGTGACAGGTGGGAGCTTTTAGGTGTCACCTCAGCTGATCCAGTCACTGAATTTAATCTCTGGGCAGTGATCATAAAACAATGATCTATATGCTAACGGTCACTTTGACATCTTTATCAGGTGATGATAAGTAAAGTGTGCCCATGGCTTATTCTGGTGCCCTCTAGTGGAAAAAGAAGCAGTTAACGATGCGTCAAACTTGCTTTGAAGCAGCCAATTTCGATCTCAGCGTTTCTATTTTGCATTCAAGGGTTTCTGTTAAGTATTTGATTTTGATTTACTGTTCTCTTGTTTTAGGTCTTTATGTCTTTAGTTTGGATATAGTGTTAAATTGTCTTTTTTTATTTACTAACTGTTAGTATCCCTCCCTCCGTTTAGCTGCTCTTCAGGAATTCATCCAATTTTTTGGAAGAAATTACAAGATCAAATGGAAGTTCAATTTCCATAAGACGGCTGCAAAAAATGGTGTTGGCATGTTTAGCACCGATGTTTTGTTTGAGGTTTTTTTTCAGTTGTTGTGGAAAGATGCTTATTGGCTTAAAACACATGAAAAATGAGCACCAACTCTGCAGGTGTAGTTACTGGGTGCATCCAAATTGCCAAGTACCTACTCAATTTGTCGGTTGGCATTAGTCAGTAGGTAGTACCTACTATCCGTGCTGTATACTGTTTAGTACCTACTATTCAGTAGGCCCACACAGTAGGCAGATATTTGTTCCTACATCGTCTGATTCAGTCAGTATGGAAGTGGCGTCATTTACGTTACCCGAATCGGCCACACCCACACGTTTTTTTGTTTGTTTTTTTGTTCAGCTTTTTCCAAAAAGAGTAATGCGCATATACAGTCAGGTAAAAAAAACAATATCACAATGTAAATCAAGTAAAAGACAGATTAAATAACTAAATAACGTACAGTACATAAAGGAAAGTACAAATGAAAGACAGTAATATACAGAATATAAAGTAAAATAAACCAATAAAGACGCATTTAAATAGTTAAATCATTATTTAAATAGAGGGGGGAAAGGTTTTATAATAATGCAGAAATTAGTTTTATTTTCTGTTGTTAATTAAAAGTAGCAATTTCAGTCGGGACTTTAACTCTAGATTAAAAATTGATTCAATTAATCCATGCTCGTTTGTTTTGATTTGGTGGAGCACGTGATGTGACGATTTAAGTTTAATTTCGCACAGCATTGTGGGTGGTAAAATACAATCAATTTCCAGAAAGGATGCATCCGATCCATACTGCATGAAACCCGGAAGTTAGTATCCATGCTGAAATGTTCAGTATACTGAGGTGGACCCAAAAAATGCATACTGAATGACCACGAAAGTTAAGTATACTGAAACTCCCTACTGAAAAGTCTGCACTGCCTACTGAACTGTTCGGAAAAGGGCCATTGTCCCTCTTAGTTTGGGGCTCTATGTTTAAAGGAGTAGAGGGCCTCTACAGACTGTTTCCAGGGGCTAGTGGTATCATTTTCTGTCCATGCTTTATACAAAGTCCGTGTTATTGTTCACATTGGAACAAATGACACCGCCCGTTGACATCTGATCTGACCAAAAAGGATTTTAATAATCTTTTTAACGTCTTAATCAAGTGTGGGAAAGACATTTTTGTTTCAGGTTCCATACCCACGCTAGCCCGCGGCGCCGGGCGTTTCAGCTATCTACTCAGCCTCCACACATGGCTTCAGTCCACCTGCAGACTGCACAACATTGGTTTTATCGACAATTTTAACCTGTTTTGATGATGTTTCCAATTCTGCAGCCACTGAATTTCTCAATATTACAGATTATTTTAACCTCAAGCAACATGTTGTAGGCCCCACGCACATAAAAGGCCACACCTTGACCTGTTCTTTTATCTAGGGATATATGTCAACATGTCAGATGTGGAGACTTACTGATCAGTGACCATAGAAGTATTTTCTTTGATCTTTGTGTAACCATTGATCCTCCCAGTGTTGTAAGAACCTTTCACTCCCGCATCATTACAACAAATACAGCCGATCAGTTCTGACACAATATCATTGGGATTGTCATTCACGCCTAAACAATACTGACCATTTATTGCAATCTTTTAATCTTCATTGTGCCACGTTACTGGACACAGTGGCACCTTTAAAGACGAGGACTAATGCCATTCCTAACCTTTCCCCATGGATGACCAATGCTGTCCACTGCCTGAGACAGCACTGTCGCAAGTCTGAACAGCTATGGAAATCCACTGGACTAGAGGTACATCGCCTGTATCTCAAAGATTTGCGGCATTCTTTAATGAAGCAGTACAGGAAGCCAATCCAAAAGTTTTGACACAATCAACAATATTGTCTCACCATCTCCATCCACCTTACCATGCTGCTCAACTAATGACTGCAATAAGTTCCTCCTTTGTTAATAAGGTATTGGCTATAAGGTCCAATATGCAGCCAAATTCTCACCCACCTAGAGACAGCTCCTCTGCTACCCCTACTGTCTTGGACTCCTTCCACCTTGTTAGCTTTGAGGATCTTATGGATTTGACAATGAAAACAAAGCTGACTAATAGCTCCTTTGATGTCTTACCACATTCACTGTTTTTAAAACTTTTACCTACTACTAGTCCTGCTGTTTTATCCATTGTAAATTCCTTATGCTTACAGGATTTTTCCCTACTTATTTTAAACATGCAACGATTCAGCCCATCTTAAAGAAACCAAATTTAGACCCAGCACTGCCTATGAACTATAGGCCAATTGCCTCACTGCTGTGTTGGAGGAACATAACATCTATGACAAATTCCAGTCAGGGTTCCGGAAAGGGCATTCCACCGAAACCGCTCTATTGAGGGTCTCCAACGATATTTTAATGTCTGCTGATGGAGGTGATTGTTCAGTGTTGGTTGTTCTTGACCTCAGCTCCGCCTTTGAGATGGTTGACCACTGAGTGGGAATATCAGGTAAGGCCCTGGACTGGTTCTCTTCGTCTCTAAGTGAAAGGACCTTCACTGTCTCTGTTGGGGGGTTTATGCATGACTCCTCTCTTTTATCGTGTGGAGTCCCGCAAGGCTCAGTCCTGGGACCTCTGTTGTTCTCTCTCTATCTTTCATTCATTATCACTAGACGGCCATGTTAAACAGCTAGCCAAATCATGCTTTTTTCAATTAAGAAATATCAGTAAGCTGAGTAAATTCTGTCTTTCACAGAACTTGAAATGATTTTTCACGCCTTTGTCTCATCTCGTATCGATTATTGTAATGCTCTTTTCACCTCACTTAGCATGTCCGCCCTAAACCGTCTCCAGTCAATCCAGAATGCTGCTGCTCGATTACTCACCAGGTCAAACAAACGGTCTCACATCACTCCGATACTGAAAACACTGCACTGGCTCCCTGTGGCATATAGGATTAAGTTTAAAACTCTCATTCTCACCTTCAGAGCCATTCACGGTCAGGCACCAGATTATCTGTCTGTCTCATTCACCCGTATTTACCCACCCAGGTCAAACACCCTACACCTGCTGTCTGTCCCGCAGACACATTTTAAGACTTGTGGGGATCGTGCGTTTCAGTCATAGCACCAATCCTCTGGGATTCTCTACCCATCTTGCTACGTCTTTCTGACTCTGTTGAGTCTTTTAAAAAACAATTAAAAACATTAATGTTTAGACAGGCCTATGGGTCATCAGGTCCACCCAGTGTACCTACTCATCTATGTTTTATTGTGCCAATTATTGTTCCTGTTTATAGCAGGATTTTATAATGTCGTCCATGACATACTCATTTTTTAATTTTTTTCTTCTTTCATTGTATGTATGCTGTTGTTGTTTTTTGTTGATGTAAAGCACTTTGTGACCTTTGTCTGCGAAAAGCACTATATAAATAAACTTTATTATTATTATTATTATAAAAAAGATCAAGTACATCACTTACTTTTTTAATGAAAACTTCAAACAGTGAGCAAAAGAAGACTCATGTAAGCTATCAGAGAAGCAGTGATGTGCTTTACAAAGTGAATCCAAAGAAAACAGAGTAACATGGAGAAAATGCAGTCATCATATAAAACATTTAAAGAAAAGATTCAAAGAAATGAGGAGCAAACAATCTCTCCATTATTACAGTATGAACAAATCCACACCTGAACAGTTAAATTTCAGTGACGTGAAAAGTTTGTACTGTTAAAATATTTGTTGGTCTATCTTAATGTCTTTTTATACATTTGTCTTTGTCTTTGTTTCCTGGTGTCTCTATAATGTTGTGTTCCTGTATCTCTGTTTCTTTGTGTCACTTGTTGCGGTGCAGCGCCTGGTGTCGGATGAGGTTGCTGAGGAAGGAGAAGTTCTTGCCACACTTGGAGCAGTGGAAGTGTCTCTCTCCAGTGTGGACGCTCTGGTGGACCCTCAGGCTGGTGGAGTTGGAGAACGTCTTCTCGCAGTGGGGGCAGGGGAACGGTCTCTCCCCAGTGTGAAGCATCTGGTGCCATCTTGTACTGTGTACAAGATGGCCACTCCGTGTCTCCAATCTGTCTGCTCTCCTGCCAGTCAAGCAGCAGGGGGGCAGTCCTTTGTTGGTCACCTGATGAGAGCAGAGGTATGAAAAGCGAACCAGGACATAAAAGGTCTTAGTATTTTTCACTTATAAGGTTTCACTTCAGAGCTGTGTGTTTCTCTCACACCTGACACACTGATACACATCATCAGCTGTTTCTGCACTCAGGGGTCTCAAGCATTAATGCCCCCCACCCCTTTCCACCTCACTCTCTTCAGACTACTGACTGCTGTCAATGCTTACATTTTTGTACCCCAACTATAAATCTTACATGGCACATTTATTGGTTGTGGCTGTGTTGCTTGCCAGTATTTTGTGGGTTTTTTTAAAGATTTTTGGGGACATTTTGAGACAAGAGGGCTTAAAGACCAGTGGCTGCAGTAGCTCATTCTAAAGAGACTTGGGTTAGGAACCAGATGGTTGCCAGTTCAAGTCCCAGTATGGACCAAAGAATAGAAGTTGGGTCTGGTTGCTGGAGAGGTGACTGTTCACATCCTGAGTACTGGCAATGAGCAAAGAACCACTTTCACTTGTTGCGATGCAACGCCTGGTGTCGGATAAGGTTACTGAGGAAGGAGAAGTTCTTGCCACACTTGGAGCAGTTGAAGCGTCTCTCTCCGGTGTGGACGCTCTGGTGGACCTTCAGGTTAGTGGAAGTGGCAAACGCCTTCCCGCAGTGGGGGCAGGGGAATGGTCTCTCCCCTGTGTGGACCATCTGGTGCCGCTTCAGGCTGCACATCTGTCCAAACCTCTTGTCGCACTGAGGGCACTTGTGTGGCTTCTCTCCGGTGTGGGCACGCTCGTGGATGCGGAGCTTACAGTGGTGGGAAAACCGGCGTGAGCAGATGGAGCAGGTGAAGGGGAGGCTGGGCTCCTGGGACAAGGAATTCTGGTTCTGAGTGTTGATTGACTGGTAGACCAAGTTCTGGTCAGAGAAGTGGTCCATTTGCTGGACTCCTGACCAAGAGTTCTGCTGCGAGAGGTTTACTTTATCCATGGTAACAGGGGAGGTGGTATGGGCAGAGATGTCCCAAGTGGATTCCCCTGAAGACAGACACAGCAGGGAGGGGTTCTGAGACCTGGTTAAACCCTCCACCCTCCACTCCATCCCTTCTACACGCTCCAGGTATCAGACCACCACAGCCATCCTGTCCTGAGTCAATCACAATAACGTCAGGCTCTGGGATTGACCTCACTTTGCCTGTGAGGCTGAATGAACTTCCTGCTGCAGAGACCGCTGTGTATGAGGAACAAGAAGGCTGCTCTGATCCTCCAGACTGCTTGCTCTCCGGCCAGTAGAGCAGTGATCGGGTTGGGCTTTTTTTCTCTGGGGAGTCACCTGATGAGAGCACAGGTACGAAACAGGAATGCCAATCATTTGCTGGCTCCATCTCCTTAAGTGTGATGATTTTTTTGGTATTTCAAAGACTTCCAACAAAATTCTGCTACTTAACTTAGTACAGCAGACAAGTGAATTCATCAACCCCTGAAAATAGTCACTGTAACTTCTACTGCGGAGCCATGCTGTTGTAATACGTGCAGAATGTGGTTTGGCATTGTCTTGACGAAATGAACAAGGCCTATCCTGGAAAAGAAGTTGCCTATTTTGCAGTTTTTTGCAAGTTGCTCATAAACCTGTATTTATGGTTCGCCATTAATGTTTCCTTCACAAATGTGCAGGTTACCCATGCCACACAGTATGAGCATATGCACCTCCATACCATCACGGATGCTGGCTTTCAACTGAGCTCAGATAAGAATGCCTGATGATCCCTCTCCTCTTAAGCCCAGAAGACACGGCGTCCACTGTTCCACACAGAAAGTCAAATTTGGACTTGTCAGACAGGACAGTCTTCCACTTCACCTCAGACCATCTTAAATGACCTCTGGCCAAGAAAAGGGGACGGTGGTCTGGATCTGGTTTATATAGGTTTCTTCTTTGAAAGCTGAGTTTCAGCTTACATTAGTGAAAGCAGCAAAGGACTGTGCTCATAAACAATGGTTTTTGGAAGGGTTTCTGAGCCCATGCAGTGATGTCCACTACAGATTCACATCTGTTTTTAATACAGGGCTGACTGAGGACTTAAACATCTCAGTCACCCAGTGTTGGTTTTTACTTTAGATGTATCTTAAGAGGCCTTTTAAACACTGAGTCAGGGACTACTGTAACCGGTGGATTCCATAGGTCTGTGTGTGCAGCGTTCAGTCACCGCCTGTTTTGGCATAATGTTGATAAAGTGAAGGGATATCTGATAGGAAGTCTGTATATTGTTTTATTTTGAAATTGACCAGATGCTCTGTGCATCCCTTGTCTGACTTGCTGTCCGGGTTGATCTGCTCTGTTCAGCTTGATCCATGCTTGCAGCAGGCTCATGGACAGTGTAAGTGGCCAAAGGAGCCATTTGGGTTGTTTGTTGTTGCTCCACCCCGGAACATGAATTACACGTTTTAGCGCACGCGTCACACTCGGCTCGTCACTCACGGCGAGCAGGCAGGGGGCTTGAGCAGAGTTACGGTATGTGCACGGCTAATTTGTTTGTAATGGTCAATTGTTTGTTTTCTCCAAACGCGATACTAAAACAAGGTTTTATGGTTTACCATTAAGCATGAAGGTTTGAAGGTTTATGGAGATCGCTGTGTCCAAAGATGAAAGTTTGCACCCTTGGGAAGCGGAGCGAGGTATGTGCGTAATTTGGGAAGGTGTTAATTGAATGATTTATGAATGAATTGAGGTTCGCTACTATAAGGGATTGTGCAATATTGTTGTAAGTGTTTAATGTAATGCGTTGGGTGTTTGAATCGGGCCTGTTGTGATGTGGATGTTATTGTTTGTGTTTGTTTAAAGTAGCTCTTTTCTGAATGTTAATTTTGGCTTTATTTTGTTTTTGTTTTTTCTAGTTTCATGGTGCTCGAAACGAAATAAATTGCATCGGTCGAACTCCACGCTTCCTTATATGTTGTCTTGGTCGAGGGCTGCTACAGACAGTCTGCATGTGCTTGAGACAGACGGGCCACATTGCCTGCAGTGGAAACAAGAGCATTGACTAGAGAGGGCGCTATAAGCTCCGGAGTGCCCATCTCAGATGGAAATTCAACCGATCCCTTGGAATCTGACAGTAAAATTGAAGTGTTTTTTCCAGTGTGTCACTTCACTAAGGTAGACTGATATTTTAAGCATTTTCATATTTTGATTTGAGGCATTTCAGAACATCTGAAGGAAAAGATTAAACTGATCTTGACACATGTTGATGTTAAAACTATAATTATAGAATAATGAACCATCACTGCTGCTGTATGAAGCTATCAATGCAGGTTAAAATGTTTCAATGGTCCACTACAGGATATGATGTCACAGATAGACGGACAAATACCTGTCACCTCCTTCTTCTCTTCCTGCTCGCTCAGAGGGCTGCTCAGGTGTGTCGGACGTCTCTGGGCCTGAAAGAGAAGGGAGATGTTTAGAGGACACAAAGTTACCGTGTGCTCTCACATGATGGGTTTCATTATTGTTGCAGTCACTGGGGTTATGTTTCAGATGTATATGCTCAGTATGATCCCACATTTTCAAAACTGCTTTACACTGCAGCTTTGACAGTGACGATCACTTCAGCTTCACAATAAAATCAAACAGTTTGAAAACATGATTTATTGGCATATTAAAAAACACTGAGTATAGATATTTGTTTACATGTTAAACATCATAAAGAGGATGTTTAATAGAAGTTAATCAAGATTTCACATGGTCTCAGATGTTTCTTCTTCTATGAGAGAATATTTCATCCGGGAGTTTGAACTCCTACAGCTGCTCTTACACTGTATGTACATGCTGATTTTTACTTCTACAGACCATAAAGGGTTAATAGTGATGGTGATAACAATGACTCTATAATTTTAAGTGGGCGTGGTCACAGTGACTTCACCACTTGACGTGTGTCTACTGTTTTTCCTTCACAGACTGTATAAAAGAAGATGGCTGATCTCACAACTCACAAAAAGTGAAGCCCAAACATTTGCCTTTTGAGCTCCGCCAACTGGCTGCAGCATAGGTCATAGGCTCCGCCTCCTCCATCTTAACAGATATGAGGGTCAAACTATAAAAGTTAAAAATAGATTTCAAACTAATTTTTTTCAAACATGGATTCTGTCTTTATAGTTAAACCCTGTTTCCACCAAGCAGTCGGGTTTGGTTCAGTATAGTTTGGAACAGTTCGGTACAGTAACTTCCTTGTGTTTCCACAGCCAAACGTACCCTTATTTGGTAAGTGGAGTGTAAGCCAGATGGATATAGCTGCGCCAGCTATGTAATAGTATGACATCATAGCAGCCCAACACAGTGTAGTCCGCTATTAATTAAGTTAAACGTTCAAGAACGGGACAAAGAACCCTTTAGGGTCGGATCCGTACTCTTGGCACCCCAACAGATGGGTACCAAAAAAGTAGGATGGTACGGAATCCTTATTATGGTACCATTCCAAACTTTTGATGGTGCCAATAAATGGGTACCGTACTGAACATAACTGAATCGGACCGCTTGGCTGGAAACGGGGCTTTAGTTGTTATCATGCAGACTGATTTCCAAGTTGATTTTGATTGTTCTGTTTAGTTTAGTTTAGTTTAGTTTATTTAGTTTGTGATCCTATATAAAGGAGTATATCGTTTTGATTGATGGCTGTGGTGACAAAATGAGACTCCTAAAGCACTGTGTGCACCGGATTATCAGAGTAGAGGAAGAGCCGTGAGAGAAACACTCACACAAAGAGTCATTGAACTTTCAATAACCACAAGTGTCAGCTTCAAACTGACGCAAAAATCTGATCTGCTGTGGACTGTACCCACCTGAGGGACCTTTGACCTTTTATCAGGAAAGGTCAAAGGAAGGGGTGGCAGCAATAAGAAAGCTCAATTCGATCTCTACTGCAGACTCCGTGTGCAAATGACATGTTTTTACTTTTCATTTTCCTTAAGAGGGTTTTTGGAGACATTAGGTTGGTTAGCTTATTTACAAGTTACTGTTATGATAATCTGGATGCTAAATATTTTCCGACTTATATAACCAAACAACGAACAAGACTTAATGTTTCCCATGGTACCGACTTGTCATTCCCAGGTAGCCCCGTGCTAACTCCTCCCCTTTTCCTGGTCTCTTTGATTCTAAATGGGACCATTATTTACAAAATGAACATCACGCTGTATTGAAGAAGACTTGAAACTAGAGAGAGAACATAAACTCATTGGGAAAATGTTTACTGAGGGAATAAATCAACTGACAAGTAGGAACATCTGATCATAGACTTCTATATAATCAGACTGCTTTGTACAACGGGTAGAGTCGCCCCCTGCTGGACTTCAAAAATACTGCAGGTTTAAGACACTTAAGCAGCTCAGACACCCTGCTTGTTAAAAAAAATCTGTGGTGTATTCTAATGTTGTTTTGTACATATACAAATACATTGACAAAAACATAAACAAGCTGATGGAAATTTTCAAAAATATTTAATAATTTAATGATACAAAAGATCCTCAGCAGGAGTCTGTTACACAAACGATGCACTTTGGTTCATTCAGAGAGTCACTGCAGGTTGTGCAGAGATGGAGCATCCTCTCAAACTTGTTCTCTTCAGTTCAATGATTCATGTGAATAAAGACTAGAATATAAAGTTGTAAAGAATGAAGTGAAAAAGTCGAGTTTCTATGACTACAAAGTACACATGAATGGGACAGCAGCTCTGATTCTTCTCATGTCTTTTGGAGGTTTTTCTGTGACGTTTGTCCTTTTAAACACCTGCACAAAACTCCTGAAAACTTCCTGAAATGTCAAGGTTGAGCTGCATGTGTGAAAGCAAACAGCAAAACTTTTAAGCCTGTCTTTACCTTGATTTTTTCTGCCAGCCCCCTAAGTTTATTTCTGCGTAAAAATAATAATTAAGTTGATGAGTAAATGCAGCAGAAACATTTCCAATAAATGTTTGCAAGTTAGACAGCGTGCGGGAGTTTACCTTTAAGTGACAGTCTGCCTGAACTTTTCTTAAAAGTTTCAGGAGTGCATAAGTAGAAACAGTTTATGAGGGTAAAATTTATTTTACAGACATGGCACAACAATCTGCCAAACACCTCCTTTATCATTGACTTCACTTTTTATTCAGTCACAAACTAACAGATGTTCTACTGCCTTTCTTACTAAACTTCTCCTACAACTATTCTGGTAAGGAAGCTTCTACATTTGACATCCCCTAACTGTGGAGCAGAAATTCAAAACACATCATCTTAATTTGGCTTTGATTAGGGTTTATCTCGATATATCATTGATGTTTGTATCAGACTGACTTGACGGTTTTTCTATCACTATCTTTTTATTCAACATATACGCTCACTGGTCACTTTTTAGGTACGGTGTTCAACTGCTTGTTATTACAAACATCTAATCAGCCTATCACATGACAGCATCTCAATGTATTCAGGATGTAGATATGGTCAAGACGATCTTCTTAAGTTCTAACCGAGCATCAGAATGGGGAAGAAAGTTGATTTAAGTGACTTAAATGTGGCATGATTGTTGGTGCCAGACGGGCTAGTCTGAGTATTTCAGCAACTGCTAATCTACTAGGATGTTTCACACACAACCATCTCAAGGGTTTACAGAGAATGGTCTGAAAAAGAGAAAATATCCAGTGATCGTCAGTTCTCTGAGCGAAAATGCCTCATTGATGTCAGAGGTCAAAGGAGAATGGCCAGACTGGTTTGAGTTGGTAGAAAGGAAACAGTACCTCAAATAACCCCTCCTTACAACCGAGGTCCCTGTGTACTAATTGAGCATCCGCTACAGCCTACCTGAACATTGTTGCTGACCATGTCCAACCCTGATGATCTCTTGAGTTAAACAGCACTTTGGTAAAACACATTGTTGCTGACCATGTCAAACCCTGATGATCACAATGTAGCAAATCGTCTGATAGAAAGCTAATATCATATCAAATTGGTTTCCTGAACATGGCAATGAGTTCACTGTACTCAAATGGACTCCACAGTCAGCAGATCTCCGTCCAATAGAGCACTTTTTGGATGTGGAACAGGAGATTCGTCTCATGGATATGCCGCCAACAAATCTGCAGCAACTGTGTGATGCTATCGTGTTAATATGGACCAAAATCTCAAAATGTTTCTAGCACCTTGTTGAATCTATGCCACAAAGAATTAAGGCAATTCTGAAGGGAAAAGGGGGTCCAACCCAGTAATGGCAAGGTGTTCCTAATTAAGTTGCAGATGAGTGTATATTTATAGTATTTTGGTTTATCTCAGTCTACAGAGGCTACATTCTTGTATCATCTCGCTCCCTTTAACTACCACGCCTCATGCCTAGTATTGATATCAAGGAGCTCCAGCCCTCATCACTTTCACATCAGGTTACACCTAAAACAGTTTCTGAGGAAGACTTCTGAAGCCCAAGGATAGCGGTGGCCATATTGAAAATGCTGTCTCCATCCAACAATCAGAAAACGTATAAACAAAGAGGTGGAACTGAGATGGGGCTTATTCCCCCTAACAAGCAGCTACAACACACTCAGCTGTTGGTAAACTCAGCCACGCCCTTAATTATGCAAATGTACAAAACTCTTAAGCTTGATGAAATAAAAAAAAGGAGTTATAAAATGAATTCATCGTAACATGAGCTGAGTGGGGAGTGACTCAGTGCAGTCAAGTGGACACTCATAGAACTGTCTTTTTTCCACATTTTTCAACACAGGAGGTTGCTGATTGGTCACCCCCCCAAGCTCTTTATCCACATCTACTGTCACTCTACATCTGTCCTGATTAACCTGCCCCATCCTGCAACCTGCATGGTTTGTGCATGCACAGGCTGCACTTCAGTGCGCTGTGCGAGTCAAAAAAAACATTGTGCATGCATAAAGGATCTTTAGCTTCAGATTTTGTACCCAACACAGCCCTCTGTAACAGAGTGTGGCTACGTTTACAGCAATAGACTACAGCAGGCTGTAATGTTACTAACATGAAGCACCTGATTGTTGTCACACGGAGCCAATAGCTGATACCTGCATTATGGCAGACGGAGTGAGAGGGAGCAGAGGAAAGAAGAAGCAGCGTTTGAAACAAAGTAACCACACAGTGAAATATCAATGTTTTATGTGTGAAAGTCAGCGAAATACTAAAATGTCTTCCTATTCAACAGCGGGTCTATATGGCTCCATTTAAACGCTGCCTTCTTCTCATCTGCACGGAGATACAGCGGTAGTATTTATTGAAGGCCACACCATGTTTATACATTTTTTTTTCATCCATCCATGGATCATGTGCGGCCCTGAACCGTGGAGGGTGATTCTAATGGATTAAGTGTGATTTAAACTATGATTATAAAAAACTTATGGTTAAAACATGACTGAGGATTATAATTATAATTTTTTTTTTTTTTTAGATTTGTTTCTTTTTGGTACAATCAATCATTAAAGTATCAGATTTTAATGTAAAAACCCATATGGAAAAATACTGATGATTTTGGAGTATAATTGAATATTTGACTTTGAAACAAACGTGATAAATATTTGAATTTTGTTTCTCTGTCCCTCTTTCCATTTCTCGGATAGGAAATTAAGTGCCTGGAGTATGCAGTAAATCGGTCCGTGCTGTGTCGGCTCCTCTTCCTCTTTGGTGATCTGGGCTGTGGAGTCCTGGTCCGGGGTCAGTGCTGGATCTTCTGGTGCCTCTTCAGGTTGCTGGGGTGGGAAAAGCGGCGGCTGCAGACGGAGCAGCTGAACGGTCTTTCCCCCGTGTGAACGTTGTGGTGAATGTCCAGCTGGCTCTGACACACGAAGCTCTTCCCGCACAGCGAGCAGGCATATGGTTTCTCCCGGGTGTGCCGCGCCGCATGCTTCTGCAGGTCCGACTCCAGGAAGAAGCGCTTTGTGCAGCGGGTGCAGCCGTACGGACGCTCCATTGTGGCTGCGTGGTAGAAGGCCAGGTGGAGGCCTCTGGGGGCAGGTCTGTGGAGGCTCGCTGGGCGGGTCAGAGAAACACCTGGGGGGTTACTGGAGAGGCTAATGCTGGAGGCAGAGCCTCCTCTGGACGGTCCAATGGGGTCACTGGGAGGAAGGACTGACCTTTTGACCTGCCCAGCACGCTGCATCATGGCAGATTTTTGTTCATGTCTGTCACTCCCTCTCTGAGTCTCATCTGACCCCTCCCCCCCTCCATCAATCACTATCACCTCTAACAGAGACAACGCCTTCTCCCTCCTGCCGTCTCTTACACCATCACAGGAAGCGTCACTTCAGCGCCCCCTGCTCTTACTTCACTTCCTGTGATCAGTGAGCAGTGGGCGGGGTCTCTGCGGTCAGTCTCAGGTGTCCTGCTGACAACAAAGGTGACGACGTCAGATCCACTGACCTCCATTTCACTGAGCTGTCTTCCGCCGTCCTTTGAGGTGGTGGGGAGCGATGTGGGGGGGTCGATGTCTCCTCTGTTGATGCAGGGTTCGATGACGCCTCCTGGTGGGCAGTGGCGGTCTCAGTGGTTTCCTCCACCTTCACTATGAGCAGCTCCTCCTCCTCCTCAGGCTCTGCAGACTGAGACACAAACGGATCACGACCTGATCTGATCAGAGCACAAATTCATCATGTCTGCTGTTTTCAAATTATAAATCTTTATTAAACCTGCAGCTTATTGTTTACATGGATAAATAAGAATTATTTCAATTTTCACTTTCAGACATTTGAAGGTTTTTTTAAACTCTGTTTCTTTTTTATATAAAAAGCAGAGACAGTTTTTCCAACCTCACTTTGGACACTTATTCAACACATCATTGCCTTACTTTATGCTCAACAGGATTAAATCTTGAATTCAGGTTGTTTAAAATATTAAATTATGCAATCCAGTCATGGACTGAATTAGGAAAAAAATATTCAAATATCGCTTTAATTGCTTAAACAATTTTTTTTAGAGTAGGTAAGGTTAGGCAGTCAATACATGACTTCCCTCTTGAAGTTTTCACCAAAAAGCATCATTATCAAACATTTCATTTTTTATTTAGTTAGGATTTTCAGTTTGTGTGGACTATGGCGCCCCCTGTGGACAAAGTAGGTAGAGTGAAGGCTCCTTTTACAGAGTTTATACTGTAAATAGTTTGAAGATATAAAACACGCTCAGATATATTTCAAGACATGAGTCTAGAGATCTGAAGGTTAAACACTAAACAGATGTTGTTTGGGTGAAATATTAATAAAGTGGCTGGGAGACGTCAGGCGAATGCAAAACAATTTGAAAAAGCCACAACACAAACGCAAAACATCAAAACACAAATTACAAAAGCCACAACCGAAGTCGAAGCCTGAAGGATCAGGTCCGTGTTTCTGATGGACTGTTACTCATGACGGACATGTGGAAGGCCGTCTTTCAGATAACTGCACGAGCTTATCCAACGTAGCTCAGACCGGAAGTACATCACGTGACCTTTAGTTGAGTTTGTTGCTAATGGCATACTTACCGTCAGGCTAGTATGCAGTATGCACTGTTTGAGTATGTAGTAGGCAGCACTTCAGTATGTGTTATTGGAGCCATAGACCTTTGTTTTCTGTCTGTGCGCTCTGCTATAATCACCTCAGTTTTAGTGGTGGTGACGACCTCCTGATCAGGGTCCTGGTCCAGGATTATAGGGGGGGTCTTCTGCAGGACTGCTGGGCTGCTGGACCCCGATTCAAAAACCTGGTCCTGCCCTGCAGAGAGGGGCCTGATGGGTAACCAGAGGAGGAGAAACACATTAACAACACTTACATGAACCACCTGTGAGTGTCTGATCATGGCTGATGAACGTCTGTGCTGTGAGATCTTTGTGAAAACAAGTTATGAAGACATTTTAAAAGAGCAATATTTAAGATATCTACTGAATTAAATCATAAAATGACCTTACTAATAAGCTCCACGAGCAGAGACGTGGCAAAACTAGAAAACATATTGGGGATGCTTTTGAAAAATGGAGAGAGGTTACTGAGGAGAAATGTTGCAAGACTGATGCAGAGCTGGCTAAACACTGAAGCTTCAGTGTCCACGATATGGCGACCGACGCACATATCGACTCTAGAGGAGGGGGCGGGGGGTGACGGCTCTTTCCAACGTTTTGAATTTAAGAGTGCAGTATCCATTTTAAACGCTAGGTGTCAGAATTACATATCTCTCCTTTAACAAAACCAAACAGGAGCTCCAAACATTTAGAAACTTTTTTTCCCAAACAGGTAATTTATGTCCTTTTTCATGTACATGTTGATATTGTGCAGCCGACTGTTAGTAAAACACACTTGGTGTTTGGCCCATGTGGTTTCCACTTAATCCAGTTGAGTATCACAATTCAGCTAAACAATATCAAGATATGAGTTCAGGGGCCCGTTTCTGAAAGAAGGTTTTATGTAAACTCTGAGTCAGTTAACCCTGAAATGAGGGAAACTCTGTTTCAGAAGAGGAGGTCACTCAAACCCCAGAAAGAGGGGTAACTCCAGCCCGTTCCAGAGGGAGAGGTTACTTTAGCTCTGAGTCAGTTACTATGGTAACTGAGTCTGTGAACCTAACCTGGTTGGGACCAGGTTTTCTTCAGTGAACCCCGAGTTTCTCTAGGTATTAAATTAATAGACTTCATTATGCGCTGACACGAGCAGCTGTTTTCTTCGTATGTCCTCATGAAGATAGGCTATATTTCGAGGAGGAGGATCTATTTTTTACACCTGTTGCCATGGTGAAATCTGCTGATCAGGAACCGAAAACTCAGTTTCCCATCTGAGAGTAAATCAACTCAGAGCTCAGTTCTTTCAAACAGGCCCCTGGTCAATATCGCTCAGGTTAACTGCTCATTCATTGAATCTTCGGACAAGTCCCTCACTACCTAACACAAAGCTAAACTCGCCAACATAGCTCACCAAGCCAGCAAAATAATCAGCTCGTCCCAACCTCATCTCTCTGAGCTGTGTTGCCCCTCTGATCATCAGCCACCCTGATCACAGGGGCAACAGTAACATCCAGTAGTAACTATTATTTTTAGGAGTGAACACAGCTCTCTGTAAAAGAGATTGTTTTTTGTAGTTTGCAGCTACAGACTACAGCAGGCTGTTACGATAAATGTCTGATTGTAACCGTTACCACCAGTTGACACCTGCATGATAGATACAGACTGACACGTGAGACTAAACAGAGAAAACGGTTGTTTCTGTTGATTACGTGCGGCCTGAACCGTGGGGGTCTGATCCATCTGGAGCTGCTGTTGGACCTCACATAGAGACGCAGGAGGATTTTAGTTGTCAATGTCGGGTTGTTTTTCAACAACGATATTTAAGGCAGAGGGTGTATGTTGTAAAGTGCTGCAGGAAACACTGGAATACACAAACTTTTCACTCAGGATATATTTTGAACACAAATTAGATTAAAATATTTAACTAAATTTATTTCAACAATGTTATATGTAAACTTTGTTATATGTAAATTTTGTTGACATAATATGACATATGACATAAACACAGTGGGCGGGGCCAATGTTCGGCGTTAAAACCCCGTTAAAAGTCCTTTATCCTTTTTTTTTTTTAACAGTTATCCGATAAATTTTGTGACTTCAGAGGATGAAGACTGTTTTGACGGATTATATGGACAACAAAAATAAGACATGATAACTTTTTTGAGGGAATAAAGTCAGTATGTTATTAAACAATATTAGAATTGTAAATTACATATTTTATCTACTAATATTGGATACATATTATTCAGAAAGTAAAACTTTTTCCTCTTGTACACTAATTCTTGTAGTATAACCTCTTTATTATCTGATTTGTTGTCCTTTAATGTAGCTCTTACACTCCGTCATAGATTATTAATAAGACAGAGTTTAGCACATGTTGTGGCACTATGTTCTGGTGAAAGCCCTCTTGGATTATGTTGAACTTGTACATTGTTAACTATATTAAACTGTTGTATATTAGAAGCTTTCTGAACAGTTTTCTGACCGGTGTTTAACTGTGAGTAACAGCCGGGTGTCGGGGCTTCTTACCGGCCGCTGAGTCTCTGCTCTGCCGGCTGAAGAGGCGGACCCCATGGAAGCGGCTGTTCACAGATCCCTCCGCCGCCTTCACCCTCTCGGCTCGGTACCGGGCGACCTGCAGCTCCAGCAGTTTGATCTTCCTCCGCAGGAACTCGCTCTCCTTCTGGCTGCGGGTCATCTCCAGGTGAACCACCGCGTAGCCGTCGTCTACCACCTTACAGATCTCCGCCACGGCCGCGTTAGCCAGCACCTCCATGATGGAGGCGATCTGAGAGTGGAAGTCCACGGCGGCCGACATCTTTAAACTTCCGCTCTGTGCTTCGTCTCTGTCCTAAAACAACAAGGAGCGATGTTAACGCACAGCGGTGTTATCTGAGACACATCCCGACCTGTTTACACCGCACAGGAACAACGGAGAAAAGTTATCCTGAAGGCGAGTAGTCTTTGTTGATAAGGCTACAGGAAGCTGTCATGTGACTGTATTTGACAAGCACAAAATATGAATACAGAAGCACAGCGCCCCCTGTGGCCAGGAGCGGACCTGCCACACAACCGTGTAGAAGTAGTAAGAAGTGCTTCAAGGCAAACTGATGTAGCGTATTTAATTTCGTTAAGATTGTTGGAGCCAAATTATGTGTTTGTTTTGTGTCATGGCATTTTCCTTATGGTTGTGTATGCCCTCTACTTTTAGTGTAATGAGGAAAACTATTAAACATTTTTTTTTTAGCATCTTTAACCTTTTATTTTAACATAAAACTGATATTTAAGCATTTTAACTTATTTAAACTTTTGAATCACTCTATGTAACTTCTTGTGACTATGCAATGTTTTTATCCACAATCAATTATTTTACCCTGTGACAGATCATGAACTCTGTGTTTTATTCTTAACTGTAATTGCATTACTTGTTAATGTGTCACAGAAACACATGTGATCCCAAAACGTTCAGTGGAATTAACTCAAAAAGCATTACTGGACAAACTGGACAAACTTCAGAAGACACGGAAAGCAAAACTAAACAAGGCATCAGAGTTTAAAGAGACAATACAAAACTTAATGCAAGACAAATCATATCAAACTGAGGTTCACTGTACATTGGACAAATACAAAACTCTATATGACAAGGCAAAACCCATGAAACTCTCGTGCAATTTCTACCTCCCAATGAAATGTAGAAAAAAACGAAATATGGTTTAAAGCAAGAATGTTGAGTTTCAATGAATTTGCTGCCGATGGAAAAGATGGATGTCTAAAGCAATTTCAGGATCTGATAGAAACGAGGAAAGAGTTGAGAGTGAAATAAATCAGAGTGACAGCATTTCAAATATTGGAACCAAAGTTTCAAGCACAAAATCAAGCAGAAAAAGTCATTCAAGGACCACAAACAAAGGCAAAACGGATACTGTCTCAGCGCAAATCACAACACACCAGCTTTGTACAATATACTGGAAAAACAAAATGAAATCACCTCACTTCTAATAAAGCAGCAAACTTTGAATTTACTGCCACCAAGAGAAATTCCATATTTTGATGCTGATCCTCTGCAGTATAACACTTTCATCAGGGCTTTTGAACATTGTGTGGAACATCACACAAACAACAAAGGGGACTGCTTATATAACCTGGATAAGTATACAAGAGGTCAGCCAAGAGACTTAGTTCGTAGCTGCCAGCATGGCTCCAGACAGAGGATATTCTGCAGCCAGGCACCTGTTACACGAGCACTTTGGGAGTGAACACATTATCACTGCAGCATACATGGAAAAAGTACTAAAATGGCCTAAAGTGAAACAGGAGGATGTGAAATCTTTGCAAGCGTACGCACTGTTTTTACGAGAATGTTGAAAAGCAATGGAGGACCTACATGAGAGAACTGGATATGCCTGCAAATATGAAAACAATAATTCTCAAACTTCCGTTAAAACTTAGAGAAAAATGGAGAAGCTCTGCATGTGACATATTGGAAAAATGTAATCACAGAGCTCAATTCATGGATATTGTCAAGTTCATCGAACATCAGATGAAATATTGTCTTACCCTTTGTTTGGAAACATTCAGAACACAACACTGCACAGGAAGTAAAAACCTTAACAGAATGAAATCCCAAGCCAGGCCAAACTTCAAAGGCAACAGTTTTGCAACAACTATTACTGCTATTGAAACATCATCTTCTCAGGAATCCAGACAATATACCTTTTCAACAGTAATGTGTCCATCTACAAAACAATGCAGCATCTGTATATGCTGTGCTCAAGGTCACACACTGGATAAGTGCCCCCAAATGGACAGGAAAACCCATAGGAACAAGATAAACTTTCTAAGAGAGAAAGGAATCTGTTTTGGATGCCTCCACCCTGGACATTTGAGCAAGGACTGAGATAAGCGCCTTTCTTGCAAAATCTTCTGCCAGAACCATCCTACTCTTCTTCACATTAAACAAAAAGCTAAAGCTGACTACACAAACTCAGCACAGCAAAAAGAAACATCAGTGAGTAGTATAGTTTCTTTGCAATCATGTGATCATACAGGGGCCGGTTAAAGTAGCAGTGAGGGGATTCTATCCATTCTGCCTGTACAGATAAAGTCAAAAAAGGGAAACGTGATCATACAGACATATGCTTTTTTGGATCCGGGTAGCACAGCCACCTTTTGTTCTGAAACACTTGTGAAAAAGCTTAAACTAAATGGAAGGAAAACTCACATCAGCCTTCAAACCATGGGCTCAAAATAATCAGTTCCCAGTTACGTGTTGGAAGGTCTGGAGATTGCAAGTCTGAATGGCTCAATTTCCTATGATCTTCCAGAAATCTACACACAAAAGAGTATGCCTGTTAGCACACATTACATTGTCAAGGAAGAGGATTTGGTTAAGTGGCCATATCTTAATGGTGTTCATGTCCATCTCATTAAATCTGAAGTGGACGTTTTGATTGGTACCAATGCGCCCAAATTGCTGGAACCCTCGGAAGTTATAAACAGTGTTGAAAATGGACCCTATGCCATTAAGACCCAATTAGGATGGGTTGTCAATGGTCCCTTGCATGGGTGCAGTGACGAGCAATGTGAGACTGGCCACCCCGCTGATACTGTAAACAGGATCTCTGTGGAAATCCTGGAAAAAATGCTGGCTTGTCAGTACAATCATGAATTTAATGAAAAGGCGTCAGATGACAAAAAGGAGATGAGAAGTTCATGAAAATCATGGAACATTCAGCTATACTTCAAGATGGACACTACAACTTAAAAATTCCTTTGAAAACTGAGTATGTGTCCCTTCCAAACAATAAATCCATTGCATACCAGCGCATTCTTGGATTGAAGAGGAAGTTTGAAAAAAATGAGGCTTTTCATCAGGAATATACCAACTTTATGAATGATGTCATCAGTAAAGGATATGCTGAACTTGTGCCAGAAAATGAAATGGAAAGATCTGATGGAAGTATATGGTATATTCCACATCATGGATTGTATCATCCAAAGAAAGGAACACTTTGTGTGGTATTTTACTGTGGAGCCGAGTTCAAAGGGAAATCTCTCAACAGTCAACTTCTGCAAGGTCCTTACCTCACCAGTTCTTTGTTAGGAGTTCTTCACGATTCAGACAAGAACCTGTGGCATTAATGACTGATGTTCAAGCCATGTTTCATCAAGTCAGAGTGACGAAACGGAAAGAGATTTCCTTCGGTTCTTGTGATTGGCCTGAAGGGGATGTAAGGCAAGAACTTGTGGAGTACAGAATGACTGTGCATCTGTTTGGTGCAGTGTCTTCACCCAACTGTGCTTGTTACACACTTAGAAGAACGGCAGAAGACAATCAAAGTAGCTTCCCTGCTGAAGTCATTGACACAGTAAAGAACAACTTTTACATGACATTTGTCTTAAGAGCTTGCAGTCTGAGGAGGAAGCTGCCAAAATGGTAAAGGATCTGACAACTCTGTGTCAAAAAGGAGGCTTCCGCTTGACTAAATGGAAAAGCAACAATCGTGAAGTATTACAATCCATACCCAAAAAGGAAAGATCAAAGAATCTGCAGGATTTGGATCTGGCCAAAGACCGACTAACAGTTGAAAGAGCCCTTGGCCTGCAATGGTGTGTCGAGACAGACACTTTCAAATTCAAGATGTCCCTCGAGGAATGGACAATTACTAGACGTGGCATTTTATCTGTGGTCAGTTCAGTTTTTGATCCTTTGGGCTTTCTCGCACCGCTCACTCTTCCAGCCAAACTTATTTTACAGGATCTGTGCAGGAAGAGTTATGGGTGGGATGATCCAATCCCCTTAACTCTCCAACAACAGTGGACAAAATGGTTGACAGACCTGGAAGGAGTGCAAGCATTCAAGGTGGATAGATGTTTTAAGCCAACGGATTTTGGAAAGCTCCTTTGTTGCCAGTTGCATCACTTTTCCGACGCTAGTGAAAATGAATATGGCATATGTGACATATTTCAGGATGCAGAACAACAGCAACAGTGTTCATGGCTCTTTCATCTTAGGCAAAGCCAGAGTGACACTTCCTCACTTAGAACTCACTGCAGCAGTTCTTGCTGTTCGAGTGGACATCATGCTTCGAGCAGAAATACAGCTCCCACTTGAAAAATCATGGTTCATGACTGATAGCACATCATTTTTAAAGTAAATCAGAAATGAAGACAAAAGATTTCAAACCTTTGTGGCAAATAGAATATCCACTATTCAAGGAGCAACCGATGTAACACAGTGGCGATATGTTCACACCACTCAAAACCCTGCAGATGAAGCCTCAAGAGGAATGAAGACAAATCAGCTGTTGACAACTAAAAGATGGATTGATGGCCCTGAATTTCTGTGGGAAGAAGAGGAAATGTAGCCGACTAAGAGTTGGGTTCCTAACATTGCTTCAGATGACCCTGGAATAAAAAGGGAGTTCATAAATAGTGCAGTGATTGTGGAGGACACACAGAATGCGACTCTACAACATCTAACCTTCTTTTCGGACTCAAACAGGTTGAAAAGAGCCGTTGCATGGATCCTTAAAATAAGGAAGACTCTAATGGAGATCAGTAAAAAAGGAAAAGTTAACACAGGAATGCAAACATCATTAGGAAGACAGAGATTGACTCCTGAAGAACTTTTGGAAGCTGAAGCATCCGTAATCGGCTTCACCCAAAAAGGAAAGGTTCTACAATGAAATTGCCACATTGACATCTGGCAAACATGAAGTAAAAAAGAGCAGCACCATATACAAACTGGACCCCATTCTGGACAATGGATTGCTTAGAGTTGGAGGGAGACTAAGTAAGGCAGCCATACCTGAGGAGACAAAACACCCAGTTGTCCTATCCAAAGATGACTATGTATCTGCTCTGATTCTAAAGCATATTCATGAGCAGGTGGGCTACGGTGGAAGAAACCATTTTCTCTCTAGATTGAGGAGAAAATATTGGGTAACCAACTGTAGCTTATGCAGGCGCCATAAAGGAAAAATGG